ACTTGCTAGCGCGGTTCGTGCCATGAGAAGAGTAATATTGTTCCAAAATATTACGTTAAGGACGAGACAGCATGACTCTAGACGTCCTTGGCCTTCCGGCAGTGCTCTTTGAAAAGTCCGTTGTCGACAACAAACTCGAGAACCCTGAGTGCCATCTTGCGCACCAACCAAACGGGCGAAATTTTCTTCATGACCTGCATGCAGTTGTGCGGCCGGTCTTGCGCGACTCGTCTGACATAATTCCGGCGATCTCACTGATAGAGATGCATGATGAATGCCGAGAATGGCGTATGTACAATGTACGCAGGACAGTGCCGTAGATGGTCTTGCGCCGCCAGGTCCTCGACAATGCGTGATATCATTTCCGCAGCGTCGAATGCCGTGTCCCTGGAAGGGTGGTTCCAGAAATCGTGAAGCTTGGTCTCTGAGCTGCCGGTAGATAAGGGAAACCTATGCAACATATACACTGCGGTGTAATAGTTCAGGTAGGTGAGTGACTCTTCCAAGTTCTCTCGGTGCCTCGCCCGGAATAGAAGGTCGGGACAGTTCTGGAGTCCGTCGGCAGGACATCTGTCTTCATATATATGTATGCGAAACACCTCGTGCATGTTCTGTTGACCTGTAGGCAGTGCTGAATATAGCGACAAATGAATTCAGCCCATGATCTTAGATAGCTCAACGTACCGCAAGAAAAATTGTACGTGGACCGGATCGGGTGTATAGGTGTGGGCAGCAAGTCCCGCGCAGTCTTCTTGGTGGATGAAATCATCGTGGTGCAGTGTCTCGACGTCGCAATCGTCCAGATTCATAATGGGCGGACGCCCAAACTCAACCGTAATCGAATATCGACGAGTAACTGGCGTCCGCCAAATCCTCTTCCACGGCTTCTTTTCGGCGTTTCTCAGGAGCGACTCTTAAACGCTTCAGTGCATACATGTATCTTGAGCAACGATAATCGCCCGACGACCCTAATAGTAGACGTTTTGACGACATCATCCGCACTATCCCAGTGCCATCCCATTAGGATGAGTGACTGCCGTACAGTCAATCGATCAGTTTTAAAATTGGCATCGTAAAGCGCCCTGGCTTTCTGTACAAAGTACGCGATGTAGGGACTGTAGATCCATTCGCGTCCGTCAAGAGCGGGTTGTTCGATACGCTTGATGCGGCTAAATGACAGCCTGGAGGAGGAGAAGGGACGGCAGGTTGACAAGATGGGCGATACCGTCTCGCGAAGCACGCCTTATTCAGGATAGGAGCGACGGGGTGTATCCGTGCAAAGTATGAATCGACAAGGTCATCGCAGAGTGGCTTTGGTGGCAGCATCAGGGCCCCTTTCTGAATCAGAATTTCGACTCCGATTCTGTCCACCTTTTCAAGCCTGTTGCTTATAGGGACACTATCGGCTGCAGCAGAATGCCCTAATTGTGCAAGGAAGCTCTCATGTCCTAGTAAGGCAATGCTGCAGGGCTCACCGTGTTACACAAGTCGGTGCGTAGCGGTGACAGGGTCGCGGAAGGTGCCAGGCTCTATAAGCAGATTCATACAGGTTCTATTGACCGTTAGCTGAGGGTATCAAGTCCTTTGGAGTCGGTGGCGCTAGTGTTGGAGGGCGTCATCATGGTGATTGGTAGTCTGGCGCTTTCAATGACAGATCTGACGGAGGTGAGCTAACGTTCACGCGTGGATGGGACTACCAGGCACACAACGTACGTTTTCTTTACCTCGTCCGAGATCCGCTTCGCGCACTGGAGGTTTAATGCAGTGCCTTTGGCCACGTGACACTCTATCTTGTGGGCGAGGCACTTCGCGCATGGCGTTCCTGGCTTGTCCAGACTACATCGAATCTGGAATTGTCAGCCCCTTTCAGCTCGTTGAATCGAGGTTGGTTGATGATGAGCTACCTTCAAAGTTTAACGTATAGATAGTCCGGTTGTGTCGTCAGTTAGCTCATGGCTACAGCCTCTGAATCATGACACAGACAGGCATCGAGGGCCATGGAGAGACCACTCATCTCACACGCGGCGAATGAGCGCGGCCTAGATAAATTGTGCTGGTCAGCCACTACCTTGACTACTGCATTGAATAACGTCGTCTTAGTAACACGTACGTCCTATGATGAGACTGTTCTCCGGGTGTACCATCTTCCAAAGACGGATGCTTGATTCTGGGGATAGATGACGCAGTTTCACCGGAAAGGTGACCATGAACAGACCGGCTATTATGGGAAGACATGTGGCGGGAGAGAGTGCTAGCTCATTTGACGCCAGGGGCCAAGCAATTACTCAACTGAGACAACGATGATGGCCGGCCCGTACGAGAAGTGAGCATCGAGCCGTTCACTTCACCTTTGTTCCATGTCAGTGAAATTAAACTCAAGGAAGGTGCGCCGCATGCTGTCTGCTTGGCCAGGGAAATTTTGGTCTTGGCCCTCGGCATCTGTTCAGCGTCAAAGACATCCGATTGGCCGCTTCGTGTCAAGTTAAGTATCCATTCCGGGTATGGTGTTCTGGTTGCTTTGTTCATAACACCATCGAGATCCTCTGAAGTTGATACGTCTGCATCACTAGGGGCAGAATAAAAAGAGTTACACTGCTTCAGGCTTCAAATGCCAGTGAGACTCTAGAAACAGGTGGTTTCTGCGAGCAAGTAACCACACCTAGATGTATATAAGGTGCATGATCCCTCGTCTCGGCCTTTCTACTTTGGCCGTTTTTGTTGCTGATCCTGTCGCTAGTCAGTGCCAACATCGATTTCGGGACAGTCATCACCCAGCAAGAATACCTTGTTTCTGGTGTTGCAAGCTCAAAAACGTCCGTTAGGAGTTGTGCCTATTGGCCAGCTACAACACGAGCTCCGTCAAGGTCAGCACAACATCCGGAGTTCTACAACCTAGACCGGGACAAGGTATAAAACTGCAACCCTTTGGTTGTACTAGTAGATTTCAATGTAGTATACAAGATAATGGCAGTATATAAAGCGGCTTTCCAGTAGGAATTTGTCCCATAATAGAGAATTCTACTGACAAGACCGATGAGAATACTTGCTATACTTGACAAGATTCCTTGCAAGAACACTTGATCTTGTTCCATGTTCGTGAGTATGATGATAATCACCCGCATTTACGATTTTCGTGGACGTTCCGTTCACGCCAGGGTACCCTGGCTCCGATCACATGGAGGCTGAGCATCACTTGCATAATCATGCAGCTTCTCCTTTGGTGTCGATCGTCCGACGGGTAGTTGGTACCTTAATTAATATGCAGCCCTACCGTTACAAAGGCGGCTTCCCCACAAATGTCATTGTCCTCCGACTCTACCCCTTGAGTCTTTTATGCGCAAACTCCGACAACAATCGGAGTCCCGCGAAGCCAAGCACGTCATGCTGTTTTCAGAGACACTGACCCGCCAACTGCATCTTTTGCTAAGGAAGAAGAGTTTGTATATATGAGCATCACAAAGATCGATGTGGTAAACAAAAGGCGGTACGACCCAAAAGCAATCTCTCTCAGTTCTGAGGTTATCATGTGGTCAGGTCCTATTCCCCATCGTTTCGCAGGTCTCAATTTCGAGTCAGTCCTGCAAATCTGTCAAAGTAGATCTTTCTTAATTAAGAACTACCCCACCTGACCGAGGCCCGATGATTCACAAACTGTTACCGTTTCTGTCTCAGGTTGTGGGCATCCACTGGAGCTTGGCAGGGCATGTATACACATGGTTGGCCATTATGCCTTGACAGCAGTTCCGAGCCGCTCGATGCAACCGGTGGATTTATGCCACCTTAGGTCTTGGCTGTCAGAGATGTAACCTCAACCCCATACTTGCCATGGGCTGTGCCGGGGCCAAGCGTTGCTCGCAAAGGCCGTGGAGCAAACTGTTTCACATGTAAAGCTCCGGCTATGGGGAACGGAAAATGCTCCATCTTGACATGAGCTAAAAAAAACCCCGAGTTGGACGCCGACATCTCATCGTAGTAGAGCAAGACAAACGGTTGTGCGTGTTGAATACACGGACCACTGAGCCCGTCCCAGACGACTTGAAGTTTACGATAGATTATGATTCATTTCTCAGCAAGCACATGATCAATTTAGGAGCGGCGCCCCCTGGATACAAAAATTCACCATCGACTATCAGTATCAATCTCGACCCACCAGCGCAAGGCATTGACACCACACACAACCCAATATTGGACGGAGTAGTTATTGCGCAATATTCGGCCACTCCAATCATGAACTCAGCAATCAGCCAGCTGCTCCAACCGGTAGGTGAATTAGAACCAAGGTTCCCCTTGTGCATGTCTGCCTGCCTCGTTTGTTCAGAATGCCCACGAGTCAATTTTGGGAAGGCGATGGGAGCATTGACACAGCCCCAGCCGCACTGGTGGAATGACGCGTTCGCAAACGGATCATGTCAGCAGATCCTCTTCACAAAGGATGCTGTAAACCAATTACCGCGTGGCTGTACTCGGAAAAGAGCGGTTGCTTGGGTCAAGGGATAAGAGTAGCCACCAGTGGTTCTTTATTGATAGTACATATGTCTGGTAGGCCTCCGAAAACCAGCCAAATGATAGTTGGACCACACAAGCAATGAAGGCTTACGCAGACTCAATCCGTAAATAGGGAGGAAAATTGGAATATGGTCAGACGAGATGCGGTACCGAATCATGGCCGACTTAGTAATGTGTGGGGGATGAACTGTTTGCGCCCATCCCGTCGAATAATGCGCATAAAGCAAGAAGATGGTGGTCCTCTCGGCGGTTTCAAAATTCTTCAGCTCACAAGACAAGTGGTTTGTTACGGTGACCTCTTGTCCGTACGACAAAGGTATCCCGGTCACAAGACTGACTATTCGCCTTGCACAGCCGAGACCGACATGCCCCTATCAAAGTCTCGACGTTAAAAAGCCCAATATTCTCCCTCTCGATGATGATTTCCAGTCCTCCACCAACCACCGGGCTACTCTTCTATCCAAGTCTTGAATCAGCATCTTGAGCTTGCAACAATGGGGCATATCCTGGTTGTTGCCGCGTTTACCTTTGCGGCCGTCACGGCTTCATCCATCCCCGACCGCCCTACTACTCTGCCCTTGACTTTGCCCATCGTTGAACGCTCAGAGCAGCCCATCACTTGTCTCACTGGGATCAAGCGCTCCCCAGAGCCTATCAATGGAAAACGCGGAATAGAACAGAACTGCGGCAGAAGCCAGCGTGATGTTACTCGAGCATTCTCCTCGTGCGCCGCAAAGGCCCAGCAGGGTCGGGAAGCTGCCCTGAAAGGGGGAGAGTTGATGAAGACTCTGTTCAAGAATGATGACGAGGATACCCGCAAGCGAGTTGCCGACCACTTCGAACAGATTGCGAGTCAGTGTGGCGCCAGGGAGAATAGCGGTGTCTCTGTCAACTGTGGACAGTGTGAACAGGGCATCGCGGGAAAGGCATTCAAGGGAAGTGGCCCGATTACGCTTTGTAACGTAGCCCTGGCGGACACGCAGAGCACGACACAATGTGGTGGTCAGGACCTTGACGATGTACTTTTACACGAAATGTCCCACGTCTTGGGAAGTACAGACGATCTCGGATATGGCTTGGAGGCTTGTAAGCAGCTTGATGCTCAGAGAAGCCTTCAGAACGCGGATAGTTATACAAAGTTCGCTCGGGCCGCCACATTGAACTGCAGTGTTGGAGGCCCCAGCGGTCCCGGAAGTGGCGGTCCCGGAAGCGGTGGTCCGGGTGATGATGGGTCTTCCTTCCCGCCTGGTCCAAACAATCCCAACAATCCCAACAATCCCAACAATCCCAATAATCCCGGCAAGCCTGGTAGACCTGGCAGACCCGGCGGTCCTGGAAGCGGTGGCCCTGGAAGCGGCGGCCCTGGAAGCGGCGGCCCTGGCAAGCCTGGCAAGCCTGGTAGACCTGGAAGACCCGGCGGTCCCGGGAGTGGCGGCCCTGGAAGCGGCGGCCCTGGAAGTGGTGGCCCCGGAGGTCCTGGAAGCGGCGGCCCTGGAAGCGGCGGCCCCGGAAGTGGTGGCCCCGGAGGTCCTGGAAGCGGTGGCCCCGGAGGTCCTGGAAGCGGTGGTCCTGGTGGTGGTGATGGCGGTGATGGTGGTGATGGCCCTTTATTCCCCCCTGGCACTGGCGGTCCTGGTAAGCCTGGTAAGCCTGGTAGACCAGGAGGTCCCGGAGGTCCCGGGAGTGGCGGCCCTGGAAGCGGCGGCCCTGGAAGTGGTGGTCCCGGAGGTCCTGGAAGCGGTGGCCCTGGTGGTGATGGTGGCCCTTCTTTCCCTCCTTTTGATGGCGGCAATGGCATTGATGGTGGTGACGGTGGCCCTTCTTTCCCTCCTTTTGATGGCGACAATGGTATTGATGGCGGCAATGGTATTGATGGCGGCAATGGTATTGATGGTGGTAACGGTGGCGATGGAAGCAACCCCTTCCCTTTCCCTCCCACCACTGGTGGTCCTGGTGGCAATCTCGGCCCCGGGGGTGGTCAACCCCCTCTGCCTCCATTTGACGGCGGCAATGGCATTGATGGTGGTGGCGGTGATGGGGGTTTCTTCTCTTCGTCGGGCAATTTCCCTCCTCAGGGCGCCCCTCCTCCCGGAGGCATCTCTGCCTTCAATGCCCCTACTGCCCCTCAAGTTTTGCCTATTCAAGATTATGATCGTGTTGAGAGTTCATGAAGTGCCAAATTGTATTTGAGATTATAGTTGAAACCTTTCTGGAAAGGTTGGTTCGCATGAAGGAATCCTGGACTTGGAAATAGCCGTGTATATAAAGAGCCATTCTTCAATTAGTAATGGCCAGATTTACAAGAAACCTTTATCGTTGACTGAGAGTCGGTGAACGCAGTGTTGTTCAGGGGTAGTCCGATTCATCCTTGGGAATTGGGTGACGCAAATTTCCAACTAGTCCACATATCATGATAATATTCGCCTCCAACGCACCAGCTCCCCAAGGTCTCGTGTGAACGGGTCGACTTGGGTGAGACCTATATCGGCTTTTCCATGGCCAGTCATCAAAGACCGCCCTTCTAATGGCGACCACACCCGGTCCGCGCGAAATGTAACTCTGGCATTGGCTCGGCTATGGAATCATGCCCGCGCTCATATATTAAATCGGCCATGACACGACAAAGGCTGATTGATGGGCCCTCCATGACAAATCCACTCCGGGTATCAATGATTCCATATAACTCTGCCTTGATGCTAGCACTGCTCCATGCATAATCGCCCGCGACACGCCGTTGTCCGATTAGCTATTAACCCCTGCAACTAACTCTTCGCAAGGTTCTCGACTCTGAAAGAGATAGAAAACACGAGAGTACTACTTCTATTTATATATATGTACTTTAACATATATCACAAGCCTAGGATACTATTTAGTTCCTACGCGATTTGGCACCACCCCTCACGTGGAGTCTCACTAGGCAACATTGAACAAAATTTTCTCACACTCATGCAAATAAATGAAAACGATGACATCTTCACCACTCGCCTGCCCAATAATCCGCACATACCCAGGCTACTCTTACTATAACTGCGCAGCATGTACTATTCGAGCGGCCCCTGAGGCTGTACGGCCCAGTTCATCTCCATGGCTACCCGATCAAACCAGAGTATGAGGGTCAACTTTGCAAAATTTAACCACTGAACGTGTTGGCTTGTATCCAATACAGGGCCATTACAAAGACTATGCATCATACACGCAGGTCGTTAATACCGAGTCATGTTTGCACGGAGCTTTTCCTATTATCCAACGTATTCATGTACGCGCAAGAGTATAAATACTACAGACTGCCTCCCATATTCTGCCGTGATGTCATATCAGCAGTGAAAATCTGTCATTAACCACTTTATTAGAAGTCCAGGGCATTTGGTAGATTTAAATCAACGAAATTGACTCAGTTCCTAATGAAGCCATGATCTTTAACGAGCCACATGAAACACCATAGTAGTAATCGCGCTTTGCTTCGGTGCGTACGTGGTGTCGGATGAAGGCTTGCGCCATAAAGTGCCCTCGTCTCCAATTGGCAGCCGCCCGTCTAAAAGTAGTAAAGGCCGCATCTGCAAGTGCGAGTGGGTCTGTTATCGTGATGTGACCAGAAGTCTAGCTATGGGTTCAATTGGCCGTGGATTGGGTTCCGTCATGTTTCTTGAGACGATAATTTGGTACTAATATTACGCTTTATATTCTGTTTTTCTGTCTCTCCAATTAATTTCCTGTGCATGCTGTGTCACTTCCACCCCTGTTATTATCCGTACATATCCAGTACTTAGGAAAAACTGGGACTGGTGGGGTCATATTGTCGGTTCAATGTTACCACTTTGGGAATCGGGCTCCGCTTAGTCAGTTTCAACGCCCGCCCAAACCGCCGCATAATCTTAGATGGCACCTGGGGCTAAATGAAACGAAAGTCGCAATCAACCTGTGGAACTAGGCGACTAATACATCAACGCCGCCCTCTGCATATTCGGGCGCCCTTCAGTCCATAGACTTCCTCACAACTCCTACCCACTGTGATGTGAAGACGGCGCCCACGACAACTCGCGTAAGTAAAGGCGAATCCATAAAATCGGATAAAATAATTCTCGTCACAGCAAGAAAAGTATTAGGGGGTATTAAGGTTAAAAAGTGTAAAGGTTTTAGAATCGTGTTTCCTCTTAGGTTTTTACTGTTTCGTTTCAGTGCTTATCTCGGTGAAATTATCAGTTAAAAAGGGAGATAGGTAATGTCTGGCAATACGAGGCGCCGAAATATCCAGAGGCCCCCATGTATCAGTCGCCGTGTTACTAGTCATAACATCCATGTCTGTGGAACAAGACCCGCACCTGCAACTGTATTGAGAGCGATGCCGGGTACTATTTCATCAAGCTTAGAAAAGAAGTTCGCTACGTGTTATGCATGCGGATGCCCGACTGATAATAAATTCCTTCTGCCTCCCAAGCAAATAAACCGCTCCGACGAGTGGTCCACACATCTTACTACAAGTTATCTTTTATGAAAACCGCAGAGGTAGAGAGGATCTAGACTCTAGAAAAAATGAAGTCACCAAACAAATTTGCTGTTTTGCTGTTCGACAGCTTCCAGGCCCTTGATGTCTTTGGACCACTAGACGTCTTGAACATGCTGGCAATGAATAACACCCTGGAGCTCTCAATCATTTCGACGAGTCTAGATCCAGTCACAGCCTGCACTGGACCGAGCATTGGGCAGAATATTCTTCCAACACATGATCTACACAACTCACCAGAGGATATTGAAGTCCTCCTTGTACCGGGGGGGAGAGGTACTCGCGACACGGGTTTGACACAACCACATGTGGACTTTATCAAATCCAGGTATCCGAAATTGCAATATCTTCTTACAGTCTGCACAGGCGCCGCTCTAGCGGCTCGCGCTGGTGTTCTTGATGGCAAGAAAGCAACTTCGAATAAAGCAGCATTTGAATGGGTGAGTCTTGGAAGCCAACTCTCTGGCCAGCTCCCCTGCAGTCTACTGATTGTTACTGAATATTAACCATCGCTACAAGGTTAAAACACAAGGCGAAAAGGTTGACTGGGTCCCGGGCGCCCGGTGGGTAAAGGATGGTACTACGTGGACCTCCTCTGGCATATCAGCGGGCATCGACATGATGTATGCTTTCATTGCGGACCAGTACGGTGAAAATGCCGCTGAAGAGATTGCCAGGCGTTCGGAATACGTGCGAAATACGGACCCATCAAATGACCCTTTCTCAAAGTCTATGGCGGCATGAAAGGAGCATGGTGTGAATCCTTTAAGAGTCGTCTTATGATGCAACGGCAATGCCTGTACTGTGAGATGCACATGGCAACATAGTATAGTATATCCTGTCAAGATCAAGTCGCACATTCAAAGCATCACCATTATTATACTGCTACCTCCCAGGCAATATCAATACAGCGAGTTAGTTTTCGTGTGATTCCACTCTTTATGTCTGAAATTTAGAGTCCATATTTTGTCTAAGCTATCCCAAACAGTCGTGCTGTGTGACGTGTCCTTTCAAATATTCACTCTCAAAAAGTGTTGGACGCCGAGCATTCTTGTCAAACAACCCACAAGGTTCTGGCACGGCTTGTAGTCCTTGATAAGTCCTGCTCTATTCTGTCCAACTGCTAGGTGGAAATATCATGTCAACTAATGGGCAGGCAGGTGGTTAAAGACTTCAAATGTTAATTCAGAACAAACCGTGCTTAATATGTCAGCAGTTTGTGCTACAGCGGCATAAGAAGACATTGAGCATTTTTTCTCCAGTGTGCAGGCAAGTGAAGTCTTTTATTTCGGGGCTTTTTCTTCGAATAGATATAAGAAAGGTGAATAAATTTTGGTTCTGTCCACACTCTTGTCACATTAAAAATTACACTACAAGAACTAGAGGTGCCTCGCCGATTTTAATATAGGATATAAAGTTCTGCTACTTTGTCCCTGCATAAATATGGTAGTTTCAGACTCTGTCAAGATCTAATTGTTCGATCAGAACAACTATGGCACGTTGATTACTTTCTAGGCAGCAGCAGTTACTATATAGTTGCCGTTTTTTAATGTATTTGGTTTTTGTAAAACTATACTCTTGAAAGTAAAGAACCAAGAGCCCTTCATTGTCCGATTCGAGGGAATCGATTATTGTTTGTTATCCAATACAGCTGAGTTGCCTGACAGCCCCCGATGAGGGCGGCCTCTCCTCTCCTTTGTATCTCACTATTCTGCTCTAACCATAAACGTGATCTTCCAGCTGTAACATTCTTAGATTTTTCACACATATATAGACCTCACCACTTGAATGGCTGCAGCTTCCAACGAGGCAACAATGCCACTAGTCTGCACATAATGAGAGGCTTTCGATTCTGAAGATAGGCTTCCTCCCTTTCGCAATTTCCAAAAGCATCAAATAGCATGACAACGTGTTCACCCCTTTGCGTTCCAATTTTCACTTCAGGAACCTATTCAACTTGCAGCATGTTTCACTTGGTCTTTAATGCAGAGCTGCAAACTCACGAGCCAATGTGAAAATACAGACTGCACTCGCACTTTCCGCCGCAGCAAGCGCATCTGCTTTTAAGACGACTTGATGAAAATTCCCAGCCTTTCCTGCGAGGCTACCGCTCGAGAAAGGGCCGAGTCGTACCCGAATGCAAACTAATTTGCCTTGTTCTGTTGGCTTATAAGCGACACAAATTATCGGATGAGGCGGCTCAGTTGATTAAAGAAGTTAACTTAGCGTAATTTCTGGAGTCTTTATTCCATCCTTGTTTTATCCTTATTATTATTCTTATTATATCCTTATTATTATCCTTGTTATTATCCTTATTGTTTTACGTTTTGGCTGGAGCAGTAGCCGTAAAACACAGAGGCTTTTATTGCTGCCCTAACTAAAACGCGAAATAAAAAGGACAACAACAAGGATAATAATAAAAACAATAATAAGGATAATAAGAAGGATAATAAGAAGAATAATAATAAGGATAATAGTAAGGATAACAGCAAGGACAGGACAAGAACAAGGCAAGATACAAAGACTAGCTATAATTTATAAGACTTGCTTCTTGTCTATAGCGTTAATGCAATGTCCAAGCTGAATATATTAACTAGCTAGGCGACTACGCACTACGAGTATTTAAACGCTCAGGAAGGAAGAGAAACAGGACAAGAAAAGGAGAGCTCGAAGCATAGTAAAGCTCGCTTGTGGGCGGGTCCCGGCCGGCTGGCCGTGGCCGAAAGCAAGAGCGTAAACCGAGCCATGTCGGGCTCAGCCTATTACATTCTATAGTGATGTGTTGGAAGCCGGGAAAGCATAAATGGTCCGCGGTTAGGCTCGGCTTCTTGGTAATCACGAGGCAGAGGCGCCTAAGGCGAATATTCTCTGCTCCCTTGCATGTGATGCCGTCCTTTAATGCCACAAGAATTTGTACTGTCTGCAAGCTCCCTTCTGATCACGAGGAACCTGCGGTCTCTTATACCCCACGTAGCTATGATGCCAGCGTAAGCTTCTTAATATTATAAATAGCTTTTCTTCTATATTTATTTTTATATTTTATTATATTTAATATAATACCCCCTCCACGTAGATATGTTACTTGAACTCCACGTATACAACCTTGGCAAATCCCCAGACCCTCATTTCGTTCTAATTTCATCCTCTAATAATAAATAACGTACATATCGAGTGCTTTATTCCTCAATAACTCTATTCTTTGCAAGGATAGCTGTCGCACTATTGTACATGGTTTCGTCGGTCAATAGCTGGACAGCAAGTTGTGCCTGAGCTCTCGCCACAATCTCAGTCTGCGTGTAGCTATATTCGCTACCAGCAAGCCTTAAAAACCCCGGCTCGTGATTAAAGGGACAAGACTTGCTGCCTGGCTCGCAAATATTGTAGTTTGGCTGGAAAACAACCTTTTCCATGCCGACCAACTTGTGAGTTTGGGGGTCGACATGTGCGCCTTGCACCCAGGCAATGTCGGAATCTGCCAGGGCCTGGTCTGTGATTTGCCATCCACTGAGATTATACGCCGGCCTGCCAACGAGGTCAATCCACGTTTCGGGTAGAAATGGAGGCACTTCAACGTTTGGGTATCTCAGGTCCATGGTTACGCGGCTCCCAAGTTTGCCGACGGCGCTTCTCACCGCGTCGACGACAGCGGGCAGGTCGACCATGTACCTTGACCGCACATCAAACGTAATGTCGAGCTCGGTGGCCGAAGTGTTTCCCGGAACGTAAAACGAGACCCCGGAGCGGTTCGAGAAGGCTTGAAAGGTTGCGACGGATAGGTCAAGCGGAGTCTTTTCCGTCAGGGAAGCGTGACCGCCAGGGCCGTGTATCTTGATGGCAATTCCGTGTGGATCTTGCCTCGTGGTGAATGAAACACGCGGAAATGTGTCGTCGAGTATGTCAGACACGGTCCTATTGACTGTGGCCATGTCGGAGCCAGATACGCCAAAGTTGACTTGCGACTGTAAAACGTTGGTCGAGTACATGCCAACGTTCTGGATTTTGGTGACAGATGAACGCATCCCGGGCAAGCTTGTGGCAATCTTGTCCACGGCCACAATGGCCTCATATGCCTTCCTCACGGCCTCTTGGTGACTTTTGCCGACGAAGTGAGGCGAGATGTTGATACGGGACCCCAGAGGCTGGATGGTGTTGACGGAACTAGGATGGGCAATGAGCCAGATGTCGGCATCGTCAAAGGCACCGGCAACCTTGAGCTTGAATTTGCCGGCTGCGTTCTCCTCATCGGGCGTGCCGACGACTTTGATGCGGCCGGGAACATTGTACTCGACAAGAGCTCTGCTGGCCAACGTAGCTGCTGCTATGCCGTTCAGGACGATGTGGTTGTGACCACATCCATGCCCTACCAGGGGGTCCGATCCCACGATGAGAGCATCATATTCGGAAAGGAAGCCTATGGACTTGAGGGCCCCATCATAACCTTGCGGACGATGTTCGAACTCTAGAGTATAGGCCGTATCCATTCCATACGCGTGTGGTGTCACCTCCCAGCCCTCAACCTGGTCGAAGTAGTCAACGACCAATTGATGGGCGTAATACTCGTTGAGTCCTAGCTCAGGATAGTTGAATATCTCCACGGCAATGTCTTTAAGAGGTGGGAACACAGATTGAGAAGTATTGCTGAGGAAACTGGGAAGCTCAGGTAAAGAGCTTCCTTGAGCAGCGGCAGCAACAACTGCTGCAACAACAAATATGCTGCAAGGCATGGTAAGAGAATTTACAAGGTAGTATATTGGAATGAAGGAGTCGTGATGAGAATGGATAGGGATGGGGAGAGAGGGGGGGAGGCAGTTGTCCTTAAATGTTTTTTTTTAACAAATTGCCTTGAACAGGATTGTTTACGGCAAAGCCTTGAGGAAACAGGAATTTTTGTTTTGCTACCCATCTATTGCCACGTCTACGAGGTATTAACTCGAGGTCAACTTAGTGGCGGGGGCGTTTAGAGTCTAGAACTCGTCATTCGAGCTCCCCGTCATCTTTCCCAGGGATGAAGTTGACATGGCTGACTGTTGCAAGAGCTACGGCGGCGGCAGGGCATTGAGCTTCAAGATGCCGTCATGAAAACCTATCCACCAGACCTGTTCCCGAGGCTAATTTGCCACTACGATGGAGCCGTACTACCTCCAGATGAGGCACGCCTTGTTATCTCCACAGAGCGAGGCTTCACCAGCTCTATCCACTCCTGACATGGACGTTGCCACAGTTTCTTCAAAGCGGGCTATGCTATGCCTATTGAGGAAATAAGCCTTCCGAGACAGATGCTCCACAAGTGGGGTCGGCAATTGCAACGGTGCAGTGGTACGCACTTATACATACATACAGCATGAGAGAAATATTAGAAAAGCAGACCGAATGCTAGTAAAACTCGGAGGAAAAATTACTCCCTATAGAGATTATTCAGAAACTCTCCACTGAGGCAGCTAGCTCACAGACACGTGCAGCTTGACTTGGGGGATTCCAAACCCTACCGCCACTATTCTGCATGAGTCGAGAATCAGGCGTTGTGAAGATCTCTCGGCAATTGAAGGATACAAGGGAACCAGTTGGTTCATTCTTGCCTGCCATGTCCGTTGAAGGGCACTGTGACCATCATCACTACCTCATAATCATACTATAATAACTGGTACTTGAATTAGCTGATCGGTATTATATCACAGCCGCCGCATATTGCTACGTAGTAGTCAAGTATAAGAAGCCAGGGTTTACCTACAGTGCTCGGTTGCAGATAGAAAAACCAAGAGAATATTCCTACAGTCTTCATCATCCTAGACCCAGCTGTCTGTGCCCTAATTTCTGCACTCAATTTCAGAGTATTTTCATTTCTCGATATTTATCTCTATAAGTCAGTCATGGTTTTCAAATCAATCTTTGTTGCTATGGCTCTAGTACTGGCTCATCCGGTGCTCCCTGTCCTCGCGTGTGTCAAACGCTCCAATGACTCAATGGGCAACGAGTTGGATTTCCAGCTGGGTAGCGACGCGCCGTCAGATCCAGCTACCGTGGGCTACCTCCTCAATCACTTGTCTCTCAACGTTGCAAATCTCTCAGCGAGCATAGCATTCTATGAGCAAGTTTTTGGGATGCGACATATGTTCACCATTCAGGTTACCGACCACTACTCTTTTGCCTACATGGCTCATAGCCATGGTGGTCGCAACGGCACTGGTTACCAAACGGCCGCCGAGCTGAACCGCGAGAGGACAAATAGTGCGGGCATGATTGAGTTGTGGAATCTCCAAGTTCCGCGTCGTGACTTGCCCGAGTCCGGCGACGCCATCAGCAGGGTAGGGCATTTTGGCATGATTGTGCCCGGTATCAAGGCAGCCCAAGCTCGCTTCGATACATTTCCTGACCTCAAGATCCTCAAGAGATACGGAGACCCTTTTCCAACACAGGGGCGAATCATAACGGCTAATAGTCTCTCCGCATCGTCTCTGGGGCAGCTCGATGCAGAGGAACGCAAGAATATCGCCGACTCGCTCACCTCCTTTCATCGAACCTTTATATTTGCTGAAGACCCTGACGGCAACATTATCGAGATTCAACCTCAGGACTGAGAGACGGGAGTGCTGTAGATGGTGTATGAGGCCCTAACTAAGACCGCATTTTATTCAGTCTCGTGTCGTCTGCAATGCATATCCATGCTGTGCAGTACACTATGAGGTCGATTCAATGTTATATAGTATGTTTATGCAGTGCAAATATAGTGTTTTTTTTTTTGAGGAGAGTGTGACATATATTACAGTATGCACCGGGTGTGATCAAGGCCCCAATTTACAGGAACTTGGAGCCTTTTCTGCTTTTTGCCGGCATTTCGAGGTAGAGATTAGCTTGCACTGTACGTGGGGTCCTGACGATGAGAGCCCTTGCACATAGTGATATCCATGGAATACTCTAATGCATAGTAGAAACGTAAAATCACGACAATACATGCTAATATTTTGCTTTAAATTATTGTGCCGGTAAGAATTATTATGAAAATCTCTCTTTCCTAGAAACAAAACATCATGATGATTGCCGGGCTTAGCATCAGATGGCCTATGCTGAAGTGGTACTGGTGCTGATAATACGTTACTTGTCGATCAGCCTGTAACATTCTTGGAGGTCTGAGCCATTTATGCGCAAAAAACAGCTCCAGTCATACTTGTAAGGAATTTCCAACGCCTACTCGCTCTCGTAGCGACATTGATTGCTACTATCCGAGACTCGCAATGAGACGCAACCAAGGTTTATCTTGGCTCGCTCGTGCCTTGCCCAGTCTGTTCTAGTTCATATGGAATTTGCCGCTCGGTAGGACTAGACTCGAGTACTATGATCGCGCACCCCTTAATTAATTCGGCAATATCGGTACTTGCCGTCATGCCGCTTCCTACTACCGAGCGAAAGGACTGTTGGCTGCAGCAGGCTGTGCCCAGAAGCCCGTTGATACGGCCACATCCAGCCAAATTAGGAACATTTGAAGTTTGGTGGCTGTCATCACGTCATCAAATCTTTCCTCCGATTTCGACACGCCAAGCACGAAACAGAAGACCCGGTGCTATGCGAGGAGATTCCACTCGTTCACAAACTGCCGCACTGTGGCCATTCTCTGATTGCCGCAATGAAAGAAGCATAGCATATATTCTGGAAAACTTAAATACGCCTCTAAAGTGTGAACCAAAACACGGGCCCCTTTTCCGACCCTTGATTGCGGGGACTAGATCCGGGATCCAAGTCTTGGCCCGATTATCTTGCCGTTTTGGGTAGTTTCGGTTCCGCTGACATATGCAGTTAACTCCCACAATCCAGCCGCTTCGAAGAGACATTCTGGGCCATGCGGCTGTCTATATGCAACGCTAGGCCGTGGCTAGTATAATGCAGCCCTATGTTTATCTAACTAGGACTTTTGCTATGACAGAAATCTGGCAGCAGATCGTCCGAGTGCCCCGCGTGGCTGCAAGTATTCAGAGTCCAGATGTCGGCACTCGGCGGCACTTCTGTCGAATGGTTACCCACCACATGCAGCTTTACTAACCTTACCCTCCGCAGCGATGCATCGCCCCCTCGGGGATTACCAATATCCTTGGCGGTTTTAGTCACCGTAGGCCATTGCTGATCTCACCATCAGAGTCAAGCCCTCGCTTGGTAACAACGCTGACAGCAGCCAAACAGGATAAAAAGGCGTCCCCAGCTTGACCTGAACGGGGCACAAGTTACAAGAGCATCAACCATATACTCACAACCCCGAGCTGATTTCTCTTGATAAAACACCAATTCTTCTGTTGTCTCTTCTTCATTTGACAACAATGACCAGTTTATTCAAGCCTATCAAAGTTGGCCGTGCTAGGCTAAGCCACCGTATAGCCATGTCGCCCATGACTCGTCTTCGCTCCGACGATGGCCATGTCCCTCTGCCCATGGTCACGGACTACTATTCGCAGCGTACAGCCGTCCCAGGCTCCCTGGCCATCACCGAGGGCACCTACATCTCTGCCAAAGCCGGGGGCTACGATTCGGCCCCGGGCATATACTCCCGGGAGCAGATTGCCGCGTGGAAAAAAGTCACCGATGCCGTTCATGCAAACAAGTCGTATATTTTCCTGCAGCTGTGGGCGCAAGGCCGCACTGCTGAAGTTGACGTCTTGAAGCGCGAGGGTCCTTTTGACCTTACTTCCAGCAGCGACATTCCCATGGGCGAGGATGCTGCTTCACCCCGGCCACTCACCGAGGAGGAAATCTACTCCTTCATCGAGGACCACGCACAGGCTGCCAGGAATGCCATCGAGGCTGGTTTCGACGGCGTCGAGATTCACGGCGCCAACGGCTACCTCATTGATCAGTTTACCCAGGACACGGCCAACAAGCGTACGGATCAGTGGGGAGGCAGCATCGAGAACCGGGCTCGCTTTGCGCTCGAGGTTACAAAGGCTGTCGTGGCCGCCGTTGGCGCCGACCGTACTGGCATTCGCCTAAGCCCTTGGAGTTCGTTCCAGGGAATGCGAATGGACGACCCGATTCCCCAGTTTACATATCTCGCTGGGAAACTCAAGGATTTCGGGCTGGCCTATGTGCATCTGATCGAATCACGATCCGGCGCCGACGCAGCAGCCAAGGCCACTGACAGCCTCGACTTTTTTTTCAACGAGTACAATAAGGCTTCCCCGATTCTAGTGGCAGGCGGATATGATGCTACGCTTGCAAAGGAGGCTGTTGATTCAAAGTACCACGACTATGATACCATCGTTGTCTTTGGGCGACCGTACATCTCGACACCCGACTTGCCGTTTAGGGTCAAGGAAGGGCTGGCATTTAACAAATACGACAGGAGCACCTTTTACCTTGCCCGATCTGACAAAGGATATATTGATTATTCCTTTAGCGACCAGTTCAACCAAGTCAGGGCTAAAGCCTAGCTTTTCGCTAGCCCAGCCGCTTTTTAGCAGATTGTTTCCTAGAAGCCCCAATCGAGAATCTGACAATAAACAGTAATAGGATGGTTTAACGCTTCTACGAGCAACTTGCTAGAGGGTGGGCGTATTTTATTGCAACAAGGAATCAACTTCTTCTTGGATCTTAGATTGCATAAATTAACTACAAGATGATAGAAATTTGATTTAAAATTCCGGTGCAAGAAGTGTGACAATTCGTTCAGGGCAATAGTTTGCTCGAGGGGAGAAGCTTTCAGCAAACTTCTTCTCGTGGCTTGATGCACCAATATTCGGTACCGTTTTCCATACGGTTGTCATGTCGCCGGCCGGTTACTGTTGAAAGCAGCATCAGCCGACTGCTCACCAATCTGTTGAACATTGACATGCGGACAGAGTTTTTTATTATCTGGCCTCGAAACCAGGGCTTGGTTTGGATAGAAGGTGTAACGGTCTAGCGAGCATCTTGGCAACTGACTAGATGATTCTAACGAATACCCAAAGATGAGGAAGAATTAGAAAAAAGAACAAGAAAAGGGGGCTAAACAAAGCAAATATGCTCTCTTCTTTGGTTCCGCGACAGGGGATAAGGTGCCTGTACTCTTCTTCATGGTATGAGTGGTTACTATTTCAAGTATCTCGACTTTGTTTAAAATTTCTGGCCATTTATTTATCCACCCATTTATATTAGTAAATAAATCTCCCGTATTAGGCGGCACCATTTTAGGGAATTTCCATCCAAAACTAATAAGTATAATTAGTTCTTTATTACTTTATTACCCTATCTATTATCTTAACTAAAAAAGTAGTCGAGTTTTATCTTTCAGTACTCAATTACCTGGTTACATTTAGGTAGTTGGCCCGCCTTTCATATTTTGTACTCCATGCACCGTGATCCTGTAACTTTTGAGAATCTAACACACTGCCGGGGCTGGCTTTTGCCGAATGGTCTCCCGGAGTGAGCACGCCATATTTGGTGGCCTCACTAGCAGGTAACTAGAGCATGACACTTGAACCTGCATCTTGCTGGCTCTGAATAAACAGTTTCTAATCTGAGCGCAGAGACTGACTAAGCGGAGCCCTGGTTTCCAAAGTGGTAAGTCAAAGGGTGAGTCCCAGCTTTCCCCGAGTAATGGAAATGGAAACTGGGAAAACACATAATACGCACACCCAAAGCTTGGTACCGGAATACCGTTGTAAGAAATGTCACAGCAATCAGAGGAAGCTTACAAAACGCATTGTACACACCCACCGTTCTAAACCCACCTCCCCAATGGCACGGTGCAGGTAGTGGCGCTCCAAGATGTGAGTAGCGCCGCCGGAAATGTCCCAAATCCGGCTGCTAGGGCCTCGATTCTCGGTCGTCTCCAAGGCTTAGTCCATGCGGAAGGCTATCCAGGCTCTCCCAAAGGGCATATTCTCGACCAGTTGCATGAGTGGAAACAGTATGTGCAGCAAACGATTCAAGGGGTCCAATAAAGATGATGTGCTCTCCCGCTCATCTTCAATGAGAATTTCACTAGTGCCAAACTAGCAAGAAAGTAGCAGAGTCATTCTCGAAGTAACGTAAATGAAGTGGGCTCTACCAAAATGGAATTACTTATATTGCCCGCCAAGCTAGCCTTGTTCACGCTGCTTTCCAAAACAAGAACCAGTTCCGCTATTGAGCGCGTAACATTGAACTCGAAACCGGGCTAAACTCGCCTGCGGACGACACCATCAATGCGCCGGGTACGGGTACAGTTAGTGTGGGGGTTAATTACCAACAATTAGAAATTGATGCTACTTGACCAGACCGAACACCGGGCAAGTCCTGGCTACAGCCTTCGTGATTGCCTTTGACTGCAAGGTGATGATGTGCGCTGGTCGTCCCGCAAACCTCAAGTGCTTCCTTTATCCGCACCCATCGCCTCTGCCATAACGACGCATCGTAAGATTGCCATGACAACATGGCGCGACAACTGGTGCATTTGCCTGCCCCGACTTCAACACCAACATTGGACAGTATCGCCCACTTTATCAATGCTGTAAAATTATTTCTTGACGAAAGTGACATTATATCCATTGATACTCTGGCTAGCCGAATGAGTCCATTCAGAATCGACTTCCAAGAAGGGCCAATGGAAGACCTAGGTTCCATCAGACCGGTACTAGTTCTCGAGAATGAGCCGCCATCACAGTAAGCCATCCTTCCTTGAAAACAAGTATATTGTGCCTTTGTTAAACAATCGCCATTAAATAGACCAGAGCTCTTGGGTTCGACGCACCTGTGGAATACAACCAACGACATGATGGAATCTCGTATTCGTCATCGAGATACCCCCTGTCAGCAACGATCGTGCAGCCTAATTGTCAACGAATATTCTTCATACCACGCAAATTCTTTGGATCTCACTAACGGCAATGAAGTGGCAACTGAGAGGATAGCCACCGAATCTGGATATGACAGCGGCAGTGGCCAGGACACGGAGCTGGCAAATTCTGACGACTCCGTGTCATCGAGCGCAAATACCATGCAGGTTCGAAAAGCCTTCCTTGACCACTATTTACCGCATCAAAACTAAGTTATACGTCTCGCCTCAAGACCAGCATCAGCAGCTCCCCTTGCAGCACTCCCATCCAAAAGATTAGAACGGAAGTAGTTCATGGTGCTGCCCAAGAAGGTGCGTTTAAGCAGCCTTCAAATCGCTTGCCTCCCCTCTGTTGTTCGCTAAATAATTTGGCGACCTAGTAGCTCTCAGGAGAGCATTGTATTCAACAGCCTCATTACCACAACCGGCACCTAATGCTGAGTCGCCGGCGCCAGGTAACGCTGATTCGGTCAACGAGACGGGACAAACGATCCAACGAGACGCCGATATCTCGATACAGGATGCTGCCACGCCGAGGCTAGTGACCGTAGCCAAGGCCTGCGTCCGATCTGACTTTGTGCAGTTTCTGGAGATGAATTTGTCTCGCTGGTGTCAGCACGGTTTGTGGGGGAGAGAACGGTCCTCGGGCCGTATGGCACGCGTTGACAAGTACGAAAAGCTGCAAACGGCGTACTCGTATATTTGTCAGCTAGATGCACGCATGAAGGACGACGCAATTCGCAGCCGAATGGCCATGGTTTTTCTCCACTTGGAGTTTGAGAAAACCTGCCGCGAATGCAGGTCCAACCATGCTGGCGAGGCAAAGACCAAGACAATGACGGGGCGTGGGCGTGGAAAGATTAGCTCCATGATTGATGGAATCCTTGAAAACACGCATCCGGGTTGGCGTTTTGCCGACGCTCGGGGGAAGGTTGAGATGCGAACCAACTTTCACAACCAAAAGCGGTACGGGAAGCGATGGTGGACACTGGTGAATACTCTTGGGTGTGGCATCTTGCTTTTATGCTCATCAAGTCTTGTCGGCATGATGTATGCTTTCCCACCAACACTTTTATTGGTGCGGTCGAGAAACTGGACTGACTCTGGACATAGCCGGAACACTACTGTTACTGCCACCACGCTTGTAGCAATTGCTCGCGTCATACAAGTCGTCCACTCGGACATGATGAGTATTCTTAATTTGGCTAACCCGATAGCTGAGAAGCTCTTTCAGAATCATGGGTATCAAGACTACGACACGAAGCAGCTTCTGGAGAAGCTTCGGGCTTTTGGCTCCATCAGCGTTGGGCAGGCTAGGGCAAATGGAGGCAATGCGGGTGACGAGTGGCGACAGTAGTCGTTATACTGCTGCCCTCCGAACGTATTAAATATCTTGAGTTTCTAGAGTTAACAGTAGGAGGACGAGCGAACAAGAATAATGATTCTATAAAGAAGCCTAGTTAACAATTATTTATGACCGAACAAGAATAATGATTCTATAAAGAAGCCTAGTTAACAATTAGTTATGACGTGACAATTTGATAATTGATAGCTACCAAGAAGCCAATAGATCGGGGTAGAGGACATGAAAAATACGAGTCCAGGAGTTCACCCATGTCAAGACAGCGGCTAAGAATTGCTACCGGCGTCGCTCACGTAATTTACGCCACCATGCTTTGAGTGTACAAGTTACATACATGCGTTTCCCAGCCAAAATTTCCCGCGGGATGCCTGCCCTATGTGCTAATACGTTCCGCCAAGTCTACTTTACCTTGGTCATTTGTCTGGCAATGGCAAGCCTGCTTAGCTCGCTCAGCTCTCGGACCAAAATATCCATCCTCTTCAAGTACATGGTTTCGCGCGGCGTGACTCTACGGATCGGCATGCTCTGCAGTACGTTTGACGCCCCGCAAAGCAGTTCCACATCGTCCATCGCAAAATCGTGATGGGGGTCATGCAGGATATTAAAAAACAATGTCATGAGAGCGGATGTGGGGTAGAAACAGAAGACCCTTGTTGGGTGATGAGCCATCGGGCGTAGTTAAAGAGACAGACATTTTAGGGTCAAGCGACTTACCAGAACGTTTCCATGTAAAGTCTGCTCGCCACTGTACTTAAATATCGAAGAGTAGATCGGCTGGCCTCAGCCGACAAGTCTAGACTTGACTGCACGCCGAAACGGCATTTTCGGCCGGACCTATGCCCATCCACATTCACCTTGAATCGTCCACTGGCTGCATGAATGGTGTTGAGTAAGAAGTAATAGTTCAAACTCAGCTCGATGTGTATCATGCTTTGGAAGCTGCTCATAGTATCGAGGTTGGCCTTTTTCTGGACCGATAATCCAGGACGTAACTCTTCAGGAATCGATATACGCCAGCTTTCAAGCTCCTCGTCCAACACTCGAATAGTCTTCAAAAGCTCAGCATCCGTCTTTACGAGGGCTGCATGAGAATAAAGGTCACAGGTAGTCTTGGACTTTAATAAACTCAGCCGCAGATCCCCAGTGAACCATGGAGTTCGCTGTCCTTTAGTTACCCTATTACCGTCAACAAACACGGTTTCCATGTAATTATCAGGGAGCGTGAGATTGCAGAATTGATCGTCAATAACGGGTGGTTGGCCTGTTCTTAGGGCAATATCTTTATCTAGAACGTAGCACATCCAAAAAAGCATACGGAGGTGCCGATTCTCATTCTCCTTCCTCGTTAAATTATAATGCGTAGGTGGAATACATGTGTGGCCTTTTAGTGTAAAGACTGTTCGGCATGCGAGAGCGTGATACATGGAAGCAGTGTTTACACGACCTCGGAGCATTTCATGTAATAGCTGTGTCAAAGATTAGCAAGATACAGGAAGTGTAATAGCACGAGGTATTTACATACTAGCATAATCATAGTCTGTAAATTAGTGATGCTTGCATGATGTAAAAGCTCCGATAGTGCCAGCTGCGCCTCGGCAGCGCAAGCATCACTATTAATCTCTGATGCAGCCTTAATATCGGGAAACCGAGTGCCCACCATGGAGAGGAAGGCAAACATGCATGCCCTAGCGCTTATATACTCATGGGAATTTACCGCATATGCCATCCGGGCTGTCTCTTCAATAAGAACAGAATCAACCAGGGGGAATATAAGGCTTAGCTCTGAGTCCATGAATGTCCGCAGAAGAAATGCCAAAATATGCTGGTCAGGCAGTACAGCCTTGTCATTTTGGTTCAAGGGTGCCGACATGACCGGTGCGGAACTGCACTCTGTAGTGTTCTCATCATAGCCTGGATCGTGTATGTCGAGATCGTGGAAACGCGGCCATTGCCCAGTTCTTGAGAGGATCCACTGGTGACACTGTAATGTGAAGTGCGGGATCCCATTTTGGGAGTCGATGGCGCCGAAATTCCGCCCCCCAAAGAATATCTGCCTTAGAGGAGTCTCATCCAAGCTCGTCAACGGCATAGCTAGTGCAGCCTCAGAGGTACGCGTTCCATGGGGGTGTGACGGTGCCGCGGTCTGCCGCGACCTGGCATCCACCGCTTCATGTTTGGAAGTCGTCCTTGGTTCTCTCGGTCTAGTTTCGTGAAAAGGAGACTTTTGCGTTGAGACGCGGCGGCCAGCTGGCCCATCCTGGACTGTAGTGACGTGGCTGTCGGGTTGTCAGTCCAAAGCGCAATATACCACCATTCTAAGAATGAACTGCCACGGCAAGGAATCTATTCCATTCCCAGGAAACCTCACATCTTCAGACCTTTGCGAGGCCTAGTCCGCCCAAAGGTGCAACGAAGGTTGTGGTGACGGCACCAATCACATTGATCCGGGACGTCGGCTGAGTCACACTTGATCTATGATTTCGTTAGCATAGTGCCGCAGCGTCTGGAGGGTTAGGGTTAATAGTGAAGACAAGGATGTGATGCGCGCCAAGACGCAGGCACAAACCTTCCTATAATAGCAGGCATCGCATGCACGTCGCTGGCTGTTTGACATGGCTCCAACCAAACATTGAACAAATAAATGCCTGGAGGAGCTTCGAGGTTCAGGTTTAGGTTCCAGTCCATTTCCTACTCGGTTTTAGCCGCCCACAGCAACCATGTCTGGTATGCGGGGTTTGGCCAACAGCTGACATCGAGGCGCTCCGAATATTTGTCCGCGCGCCCCACTTCGTCGACACCATAAGCTACGCCCTAACTTCTTTTTGGTTACATCTTCGCCTGCACCCTTAAAGAGGTTATTAGGCAAAGCGGGATAGAAATTAATCTCTAAGTAAAGTAAAATAGCATGTTAGTAAGCAATAGGCTACATAGAGCTTCCCGCTTTATATTTCTAATATAATATATTATATAGGTACTTTTTAGGCTTTAATTAGTTATTATTAAGTTAATTATTATTAAATTATTATTAAAAAAAAAGGGCTAGCTAATTACCAGGACCTACTGGTAACTCCCGATTGTGATACTAGTAGGTCCTGGTAATTAGTTAGCCTTTTCTGTTTTTGTTTTATTAAATAATATTATATTATAAGCTAATAATTATTATAAATACTAGAATATACTTATAAATACTAGAATATACTTATAAATACTAGAATATACTTATAAATACTAGAATATACTCATAAATACTAGAATATACTCATAAATACTAGAATATACTTATAAATACTAGAATATACTCATAAATACTAGAATATACTTATAAATACTAGAATATACTAGAATATATTTCTACCTAATAGCTAACTACCTAAATATAAACCTCCATGTCCTCCAAGTAAAACAAAACTAGACCGGATCCTTCCACACCCCCCAAGCCGCCCTTACATACCCGGGAATGCGCCTGGAAATCGGGGCTCACCTTGTCGAGGCTCACCTTGTCTTGCGTGTTTCTGGACAGATGCAAGACCGAGTACACGACCGCCGGATCTCTGTTCACGCCTCCCCCTCACAGCAGCAACATCCCGTACCTCTCTCTGTGCTCTCTGTGGCCTTTGTTCCACCCTCCTGACCCGTTTTCTTTCCTGCTCAACGCGCTCTCCCGACGGCCCTGGCTCGTCGGGGGAGATTGCAGCAGCACGAATCGGATTGCGTCGAGTGGTGCGGCCTTCTCCGGCAAAGAGCCTGTCCAACATGTCCCCTGCTGTCGCTCGCTCTCTAGGATCCACATGTGCCATGTCTCGAAGAGGTCGAAACTCGTTGGCCGCCTCCTGGATTGCCTTGATTCGCAGGGGCGTGTTGTGTAAAGGTTTCTGCCGAAAACCGGCTCCATTCAACGCGTACGCGAGAGTGACAAAGAGGGACCAGACATCCATCTTTGGCGTCTGAGGCGAATCCGGGCTATTTTCTAGCTCGGGAGCCATGTAGAGTCTTGATCCGGCGAACGTTCGGGCGTCGGCAACTATGTTAGCAAGGCCAAAGTCTGCGAGTTGGTAGAGGAGACCTCCATCTGGCATAGGCGAATACAAAATATTCTCCGGTTTAATATCTCGGTGAATAATGCTTTCGCTCGCGAGGTAGTCAAGCGCTTGAAGCATTTGGTGGACAAATGCGTCGGCTGCCGTTCGTTTCTTTATAAAGAGGTCACGCCGGATCAGGTCTTCGACGTTCCCGGGCCTGAATGCCATGAAGATTTCAAAATGCTCGTCTGCCCACACGGCGGATTTGTATTCTATGACGTTTCTCTGGTGCTGTTAGCTAGTGGCAGATAAGATAGCCGTTGGCAACCAAGTGGAATAGCTAGTCGACTTAGTTGTCAACAGGCAGATGTCGTCTGCTTTTTTTTTTCGGCTTACATGACAAATGCGAGACAACGTCTCGACTTCCCGTTTCAATAGAACATGATTGTAGGACTGGAGGTGTGGCCGCTTCACACGCTTAACCGCCAGCCACTCGCCAGAATCGACATTGGCGACCTTCCAAACCTCTCCAAACGCTCCACTTCCGATCATGTCTCGGTACGAGTACCTGATCCTCTCTGGGTTGCCAGGAGTATGGACCCGGGTAGTGCGCCTAGACGGTTCAATAGTCGGCGGCTCATCCAGGACGGTGCGAGTCTGGCGGGGGTTGTCTTCCCGGTAATCGAAGTCGGCCATCAGTTTGCCACGATCATGCCAGACGATTCGAAATCGGTACAAATCACACCCCACTCCGCCAAACCCGAATTCCAGATTCACGTGTTTATCAACGAGGACGCGACGATGGGGACGGCCCAACTCGAATGGCATTGCTTTTGTCCCGAAAAACTGGGTCGATTTATTGGTTGAGCGATCTTGGAGCATGATCTCCGTCTTATTGTCCTCGTTGATCTCGAAAGAGCACTGTATACGCGAGATACCCGCCCCTTCGACCGTGATATCGCCGCAGCGCCCGATAGTGGCCAGCGTATAGCGTGACTTTGAACCGATGAATACGCCGATGTTGAGTCCACGTTGATCATCTCCGGGGCGGTCCGGGTCGTCTGTGATGCGTGAGACAAGATGGGAGTTTTCGGGATGGTCGACAGCTGCTCTTGCCCTATTGCTTGTAGGCACGAGGGAAAAGAGAGCGATAGGATGGGTGCCTTTGGCTGTGGGAGGCATAGTGGACGGCAACGAGGTAGGGTGAGAACTGGGGAGTTTAACGACGACGGTCCTGTCATAATAGGGCACCTGGGTGGTAATGGTATTTAACTTGCTCAGGGGATGGCCATGTCCGTGGCCTTGTACAGTGTGGGGTAGAATATATCGACTTACTAAAAATAAAATACTACTAAATAGTAAAATACGTGAATATATAAAAATATATAAAAATATATTATATTATATATTAATATATATAAATGTATTTTAATTTTTCATAATAATATAATATATTATAATATAAAGCGTAATACTCAAGTATTTTATTTAATTATATACCTTTTGCCTCCCACTGTACAAAGTGCATAGCGCTCTCGAGTTTGAGGCATGCAGCCTGGGCGGGAATGGGTGGACGAGGCTCTCTGTTCTTGTAACCAGATGCAAAGCGTGGCGCTTAAATGGCTATCGTCATTCGTCCAAATGTAGCCGCTGATAAAGGCAAGCCTGGCACGGGCCGGCGCTTAGGGCCGCAAGACGACTGGCCAGCTGGCAGAGGTCGGCTCCGCTTTGTCAGCAGACTGTCATCTGGCATCTCCTCACAACTAATTATAGCGCACGACAGAGCTAGCATAAACAGCTTCTCCCCCGTCGCAGTCAACAACTTCATCTGCTCTTGTTTTCTTCAGCTTCCATTTCATCGCGAACATGGCCTCCTTTTTCCATGATCCTCGGCGCCCCGCCCTATCGCAGGTGGTCGAAGCACTTCAACGACTACAAAACGATCCTCAACAGCTTGCCCATGAAAGAGAGGGACGCTACGACGATCCCCCCCCGCCGTATCCAGAGTCAGGCGAGACCACACAGCCTCCGACCCCCGGGCCACCCGTTGTAGACGAGACGTATCAGCGAGAACTACGAAGGAAAGCTCGCTACAAGGCGACCCCGGTGAACCAGTTCAATAGTCAGGCCAACCGCGAGCTCGAACGGCTTGTGCATCAGCTATCGGAGAAGCGCTTCGGTCGAAGACAGACGTTACCGTGGGATGGCTCTTCAGATCTTCGAGCCAACTCCGAGAACAATGTCCGAAGCCGCTGGGTAGAACAAGGCATCTGGGGGAATGAATGGGGCCCAGCATGGCCCGAGGACAGTCATCCAATGTCGAAGAGATGGCAACAAGAAGGAGACGGTCCCTTTTTTGGTTCCTACAGCTCGTCCACTTCTAAGTCCTTGCCAGGCGCTCGTTGGGGCCACGAGGAACCTGATCCGGAGCCGGAATCGGAATCGGAGTCAGAACAGGAACGGCCACCTATCTTTGGTATTTTCGGCCTTGGTGTAGGCCAGCCAAAACGATCCAAGTCTCCGCAGCGGTTCAGGTATATCCAGACAGAACAGGGACAGCGTCTATATATTCCCAATCCCACCGTTCGCAATCCCGAGGCATCGCGCCCTTATAACCAGTTCTTATATCAGATATCCAAAGAGCGTGACTGGATCAAGGACGAGCTGGACTACAAGGCGCTCGGTACTAGCGTCGACATCGACACCATAGTCTACCAAAGCGTCAAGGACATGTGGATCGAAGATGGCATTTGGAATCCCAAATGGGGCGAGCTGCCAGGAATGACGTGGATCTACGAAGAACCCGAAGAAGAGGAGGCGGTGGAAGCTCCTGCATCTCCCGATGCCGTCGCAGGACAGCATGAGGACGCCATCGATGACGGCAGACAACACGCTCCCGTTCCTAGAACTCTCAGTATTTTCGGGCAGGCGTTAATCTCCAACATGGCCAGTGGTGGCACTGATGGCAGCTCCGCTCCAGCTCTTGGTGATGCCGGAGCCTCTACCACTGATAGACGGACCGGGACAAGGGAAGCGCCAAGTGACCAGACCGCAGTCACCCACGACGTACAGGACCCGGGAGACCGCCCTCGGCGTGCTGCTCGCATCGAGAGGCCGCCGAGGGAGGAGCGAACCCCCCGTCTACGGAAGCGCAGTCGTGGTTCTGACGCAGTCGTGGATGAACAGCCTCCCAAACGACCGAGGCGTAGTACTCGGCTCTCGGCTCTCCCCCATAATGCATCCGATTCTGCTGATGCAAACAAGCCACATGGCTCGAAGACCGTGGACACAAGTGGTGTGGAGGAAGGAAGGAGACCGCCTTGTGATAAAAGGGCAGCGCCTGCAAGTGGCAAAACGAAAGGGAAAAAAGTCAATGCTGTAGCCAATCCAGTGCGCCGCAGCGCCAGGATTGCAGAAAGAGAAAGGAAACGGATGGCCGACATGGCGGAGGAGCTACCGTCGAAGTCGAGGTCTCCCCGAGCCAAGACGACAAGGACAGCTCGTCGAAAATAATGTGGCATGGTACGTCAGAACCAAAGAATGGGACAAGAAGAATGGCTCGTGTTTATAGGCAGAGGCTGGGAAATAGGAATGCTCACGACACCGAGGATTCGGTAGGTAGTTTTTGGGTTGAGATCTTCAGGACAATCGAGTTGCTGTTTTTTTTTTTTTTTGCTCTACTACGAAAGATACTTCCGCCACCATCGATCATGGAACGTGACACGATTGGCAACTGGATCGGCCTTGTTGTCACAAACAGAGCATGCTGGTTGCGAAGCAATCACAGTCTGTGGCAGAATATATTCGCTCACCAAGAAGTATACACTGCCGTGTAGTATAGATCGCGATAGCCAGTCCCAGACCTGGTTGCACACAGTTGGCCTCCCACTGTTCACACCTCTAGCATTCCGCTGACTCAACATCTGTCAAAGGTTCCTGGAACTCGACAAACAAGAAGCCTACTGCCTTGAATGTGGCGATTGCACGTAACTTGAAACGGCCACGACTTGACCTACTCGGTTGGGGATTCCTCATGAAAGGGCGACTGCAACTGTGCACGGAGCGCAGCTAAATGGGCGAGACAAGCAGCTTCAGGTTGGGCCAAGGCAATGAAAACCGACTTGGGCCCATATCAAATCGAAGTTCGGGGGCTGTGCAATCTTGTTGCTGCCTATGAACCGAGTTGGCGACTGCAGATGATGACGGCCTGCAGGGACGGTTTCAGGCTGCCATGACTGGCGAGGCGTCATTTTCGAGGAGTCATGTTCAAGATGCAGAGGCGGAGACGGTGAAAATAGAGGCTCACTGCATAAATGCGACATTTGAAGCAGGACGAGCATGAATATCCGTTGTCCGGGACGTGTTCACCAGTTCTCGGGCCGGCCAAGTCGACAAGAACAGGCCTGCAGAAGCGCACAGGCAGCAGTGCATGGGGGTCTGTGAACAGGTAAAGGCCTGGCGACTTTACAAGTTCTGACATCTGGTCTCATACGGAGGAGTGTCGTCCCCCATGAATGCCGCCACGCTGAGGCCGTTGGTCTTGATTCGATCCGTTTTCGAAGCCGGGCGCTGCGGCATCCGTGCATGACCGCACATGCAGTCCATGCAGTTCATGTAATGTCTTTACAGCTGCAAAGCACACAAACGGCCCTGCAGCGCCGTTGTGCAAGGTCGTCCCGCGAGACACTCTGCTCACAGACGAGACAAAGCTCCTGCTGGATGCCTCACGAGTCACAGTCGGCCGGCCTCACCAAGTTGGGAACGAAGCCAGAGGGCGGGCTGTGCATCTTTGGATATTTTTCGGAGCCATCCGAGGCCTGCGGCTCGATTTGTTTCTCTCTTGTCTGCGCGGGCGCGGCTCTTCCTTGTCTGTATCTGCCGGCTGTTTTTGTTGTGTTTGGCGTCGTCGTCTTGTTCGCTCTTTGCCGGCTTCCTACTGTCAGTGCTTTATTCACTCCTTGTTCGGTTGCGCTTCCCGGTCGCGTCTTTATTCTGCTTTGACTCGTCATTTTTCACATGCTCATGGGCTCTTCATTGCGCTGCGCGCGATGGTCGGCGTCACGCACTGAACATCGTCGTCGTGGAAAGCTTGAGGCCTCAGTCGCAAATCCGCCGCCTATATAAACCCCTTGGCCTCGCCATTCTCTTCCAAGGAAAATCCATCTTCACCAACACCTTCATCTGGAGCCTCAATCACAAATCGGCAAGATTTATATGCCCCTTCGCCCTCCGACATCCTCAACCAAAGGATATATATCTGCACCAACACCATCGTCGAAAGCGTGGGCTCGATCATAAAGCCGCCGCATATATATCTCTCTTCGCCTCCGGCACCAGACTCTAAAACCAAGCGAAGCCGCCCAACTGCACCAATGCGAGTGGTTCCAGCCTTCTGGGGGTTCGACCCTGCGCCAATCTCACCGCACTACAAAACAGGCCTCATCATATGCGGTTTCCCCGGTATCGGAAAGTCAGAACTCGCCGATCAACCCCTGCTAGTGCCCGATTACAGGATTATTGAGCTGGACTCGGCCGGATTTTTCAGTTTCCACGGCAGTGCTAACTTCGTGGCTGAATACTGCAAAGCACTGAAAGAGGCCTGCCAGCGAAACACAATTGTCTTAGCTTCAACTCATGACGAAGTGCTAGACCAATTATCACTCCAACCCTTGCCCATCGTCTTGCTTCATCCACGCTGGTGGGAGAAAGACCAGTGGATCGCGCGCTTGCAGTCCAGAGGGGCATCTGACGCTCTGGTCAACTTGGTTCAAAACGACTGGTACACCCTGATGGACAACTTCACGAGATTCACTAATTTTTTTGCATATTCCATAGCCTCAGATGCAAATTTGCTCCAAATAATCGAGGAGATGGTCACGGGGATACTTGATCACCTAGAAGTACTAGGGCGTGAGATAGGGGCCGAAGGGGGGTGACCTACGACATAGTACGGCGGCAATCCCAGTCGACCGTACTATCAGGCAAGAATGGGGGGGACTGTCAATGTCGGGTTTTCATGTTACTGTTTGTGGATTCTGCCCAGCGTGATGAGCACGTGGGCTTCTTTGGAAAGACGGGTTCGGCAGCAAGTGAAATTCAAGTTCGATCCGGGATGTCTTCAAATTCCTACCGAACCCCGTCGACGGATTTCTTATTGCATGCACTCTGAGTGCCATGCGAATGCTGAAACTTGGGCACTATCCGACAAACCCGTGGCCTTGGGTTTGCCTTGGCAAATAGTGCAAACGCCGGTTCTTTGAACTGAAGATTGTGACACGGAGTTTTATCTCCTGTCACTTTGTTTCTGTTGGATATTGCAAATGATGCGAATTTGGGGGATTTTAATCAGGGTAGACGCGAGACGGACGAAGAAGGGACAGGAGAGTGTGTATTGTGCCGTTATCAAACCATCTTGGGCAACACAGCCATCCAGTAAACTGGTGGCCTGGATTAGATTTCTCAAATAAACGGGTTATGGATTATATTTGCAGAGCCTCATTTTGCCAGTGCATGTTGTATGGCCGTTCTCGGATGACTGTTTTCAGATTGTGTAGTTTGCTCTGTCGAACCTTTCATGACGATTGGACTCGCCAAACAGGTAGCAGCGCGCCCATCCTCCGGGGGGGTTCGAGCCTTTACTGACATCCCAATGCCACTGCCAGGCTTTTATGTACTTGCTACTACCTTTGGCCGTGGCAAGGGCAGTACATTTGGCCCATCTTGTAGCCACGATGAGGCACCGTCCATGCGTCACCTTTCTTTGGAGCCATGGTTAGCATATCTAGCTGACGAGTCAACAAGTTCATGATTCTTTGACATACTTAGTCGGTCACTTTTATGATTGTATGGGTGTTTTCAGGCTATCAGGCTCGACAGCAGCCGCCATAACTACCATGCATCGCGGTCGAACTTGCACCCGCAAGTCTCGTCAACGGGTAGACTGGTGCTTGAATATTTCTGCTGCTACGATTCACGAACTATCCAGTCTTCCTGGCTTTAACCGTACCATTGAAACATCTTTTTCCAATGAATATGCACATGTCTCTACCCCTTGACCGCATTGCCACCGTAGTATTCTGTCTCATCTTTTCATAATTGTCACACTGTTCAAAATTTACCATGGTCACGGCCTTTTTCCACGTGCACAAATTTATGACTCAAGTCGTGAATGGTTGTACCACGGATATTGATGTTCATATGGCCAGCTCAGGCGGCACTGTGTCTTTGAACCTTCCATCAAACAACTGAGAACAAGCTGCAGGACTCGCATGCAATAACTCCTGAGTACTCACCGTAAAGGGGGTTTGGCCCCCGACTACGTTCATCACCCAGTATGGCTGACCTCGTTTCAAGCATGTACTCCAAACCAGTGGTTGTATAAAAACGCCCAACATGAGCATTCACTCATGATGCGTGCAATAACCATTATCAGCGTCTCTAAACGATGGAATGAGCCCCTGTTGTGGAATTACTCGCACAGGATGAGTGACGAGTGTAGATTCCCTGTCCACACTGCCATGTTATCCAGGTGTGCCGTGTACATGGCCTACTTTCCGTGGCGAGTGCTCGACCGTATCAAAGGTTGTGATTGCCTTCCACACTTCAAATGCAATTCAAGAGGCATCTCATCTGCCGAGCTATCGTTGAATAAAGCTACCTAAGCAGCCTTGCAAATCTCACAGGCTCGGGCCTGGTACGTGTAGGGTATTTGGCGCTGGTCCGGATTACGGGGACTGAAGTGAAGTCTTTATTTGTTTCCCAACCAGCTCGCTGTGTCGGCAGCCTCGGTGGAAACAGTCTTCATCCTCAAAAGTTGTATAAGTGGCTCAAAACTAATCTTGATGTTTTTATAGCGTGTAGATTGATTATAATCATTGTATTAGTGTAGACCGCGTGTCAAGGCTGTCGCGAAACCTGTTCACAGGGCCTGATATCGACCACCATACGCTCATCCAGCCTCGTGTTTAAAATGAACGAGACACGCAGCAATTTACTTGTTCCCCAGAAGTGGACGGCCGTTGGGCGCCGGAGGGCTCGGTCTCAGGGCACCTTTTCGCGCCATAACCGCCTTGTTATTGCGATCTCTGCTGGGCCTGTCTGCATTGGAAACGGAACTTTGGGACGGGGGCTTGGGGGATACAGTGTAACCCACGAGGCAGTGATATCGGACCAGACCTCAGCGAGTCCGAAGTGGGCTTTTCGTAGGGTTTTGGATTTTACAACCCTGGCTGTACTTGGATTTACCGGAAGAATGGGAGCAACTGCTGAGGCCAAGGTCTGATGAGAATGGTAGGGCAAGTAACTGGCAGGACAGAACTGTGCTCGGCGCCGCCTGTCTCTAATCATTGGTAGTATTACCAAGAATCTTACATTTATGCCCATCTCGGGGTAACAATATGCTCATCCGCCGACCAAAGTGTAGTTAGATCCGTCAAGAACGACTCTGCCCATGGGAAGGCATACTATGCACTAGCAACTCCAGTCGTCAATCTCACCAAGAGAAGTGTTTCCTACATGATCATAGATAAGTAGGAGGCATTCTGCCCGCCAGCAATGGTGTGGTTGCTATCTTGAACGCAAGGACATGCAACTGTGACTGATGACCAGATTCATGATGGCCTCATTGGTGTGCTTTATGCCCGCATGCTTCATTACACAGTCCACGCTATCCAGAAACTAGGCAAGGGCTTGATTTTGGCGTCAGATATCCTTGATAACGAGTAAAAGCGTTCTCCCCATTGTTAAACGAGATGGGATTCGCGATAAGTCAGTCTATCACGGATAGTTGTGTCGTTTGTACAAAGTGTGATGAAGCCTATCAAAATAGCTTCTTGGTCGTGCTAGCTAAGGTGCCGGATATCTACTTCTCTGGCAAGGTATGGACTACTGGTTGGAGAAGACTCTTAGGACGCTACTTTAGATAAATCGTCGCATCGTATTGGTTCAAGAAAGGCTTCCCAGCGCATATCCAAAGGTTGTATTACCGTATCTATCACGGTCTAAAAGAAATACTTTCATTTCCAATCACGAGAGATAGTCAAACAATTGCATAGTTAAAGCGCCAAGGTTTGACTGTCGTGCTGCCTAAATCTAAATGAAGTAAAACTGAAAGGCTAATTGAGAGATGCATGTCTACTAACACGAATAAACTTCTTCCGCAAGCGACTCACTTTCCGATCATGGCCTTTCGGCTACTGCTGCATCAGCAATAGCAAATTCGTATTGGAATGCGATGCCAACGACCCAGAGTAGCAGTTGTATCGCACTTTTGCCAATGGCGAATTTCAACCCTCACATTCGACTCTGAACCGCAATCCATCTACCCTTTGCTGCTCCATCCTCTCTCAGGCCCTTTACCACGCCCACGGCCTATATCCTTTCGTATTTCTCAACACGGCTTCATTCTCGGTCCGTTATGGGCCAATAGCACAGCATGCGCAATTCTCAACCGCAAGGACGCTAGCGTTATTAGACCACAGCATACACGCGACGGTGTTTGCGCATGCCGGTCAACAAGGCCATTTACTGTCCTTCAAGTGACGCACTCAATTCGCGATGCTCATGGAGCCTGATGCTTCTCGTTCGGCCAAGTGGAGAATAGGGTCTGGCTGTCTCAATCCAGCCAAGTTGCCACGCATCAATGATCTCATGTGGCGTCGCACTTTGTGTGTCAGTTTCGGAGTTTCATGCGTGCCACGTCTCATCAGGACTTTATTTCTGTTATCCATCACCCACACAGGCACCCAGACATGTTCACCTAGCCGCCAATTCTAACCCGATCCTTTCCCTACGTATCCCTAGGTAAATCAGTAGTTGGCACTCGCGGCGCGGTGGAGTGAGCCACTTTGCTTGTTTATCTGCGCCGTCTCCATCGTGACGCGGCACGCCCACCATCGAGCCCGGCATTCCGTCCAGTGTCCTCTCGATTCCACGCCGAGAACCGGCTGTAGGCGCAGTCTGCGGAATCTACAGCCGGTCGCGCTCAACTTGTACGGCGACGCTCTGCGGCAGGACTATATATAGCTGATATGACCACAGGCATGGACGAGTAGTTTGGGTGTGAAACAGGGCAAACAGTCAACCCCGCGTTTCATGTCCAATCGAGCACGATACGGACCACGAGCCTGCCGAACAATGCTTGGCTGCTCCGTTGTTTACCAAGGCACGGAATGCGTGCGTGGAAGAAAAGTTGGATCGGTGGAGGCCTTAGGGAGGCGCATTCCTCGACGCCTTTGTTCGCAAATTCCAGCGGTGAATGCCGTGGAGTACGGACGGGGCTGCAAACCGGTTCGACGGACGCTGCGCTCGGATCCTGGCCCGGGTATTTGACGGTTGTTTATACCAAGCATGTTTCACGGCGGCAAACCAGACTCTACTCGTTTCGCTGCCCACAGGTTCCTCAGGGGCGGACGGAGGCTGAATCCAGGAACGAGCGCGAGTTGCCAGCCAGAGAAGCGCCTGGTATGCCGTCAACCTCGAGTCGATAGCTGATGAACCTGGCAGCTTGGCGGGATCAATACCTAACCCCCCCTCCCCCGTGCCAACGTCACCCCAAGTCATCGGCGGCTAGTCCGCAGCTATTTCAGCCTGCCGGGTTCTCATTGGCGGAACTAAGCATCGGGGTTGTATTTGTATCCATCTGTCCACCTGGCAGGCCCCGAGGATTCCGAGGCTGTGCTGGATTATGCCCGTTTCGGCAAGCATGGGCTTACGCCGCGCCGTACAATTCCCATTCCCTCGCACCAAGGATTCTCGTATCTGCCTTCCACGACCCTGGCATCGAACATGTCATGGCGCCCACATGGCGCCTCTTGGCGGTCGTTTGGTGACGAACGCGCCGTTCCGGAAGCATGGAAGCAAAAAGGGTGTGCGGCCCTGGTCCCGGTGCCATTTTGCTTTTCCAGCATCTACACCACACGTTTCGACGAGAGAAAAAACGACAAGGAGACGACGAGCTCGCCTTGAATTGACCGGTTTTTGAAGAGACTATTTCAACGGAAGGACCTTGATTTTTTGCCACGCCCGGGTTTCCAAATGTGGCGGGACTGACTCGGGGTTGTCGTTGGGGCCGCAAACTCGTTGGACTTCTGAGACGTGGGAAAAAAACGACCAGCGCGCTGAAACTCGGCCATTGTTGGAATAAATACATATATCTGCGGCTGTCGGACAGAACTGCCAACTTTCTGCGCGGCTTGGCGCCACAGGAGTGCTGTCTGCAGCCATTGCCGCTTCAGTCTCTGACCCTCCAGGCGGCATCGAGACGACGGGCGGGCTTCCACACGTGCTCTGGAGACTCTGGGATATTTTATTTGCTTTTACCTTGTTCCTTTATTTTCTTCGAGACGACCATTCTACACGGCCCGCTGGTGGACCGCCACATACTCTGACCATGGTCGCACCGCGGTTGGCGCCGGCGCTGGTCGCCATCGCCAGTGGTGTTTTGTTCAGCGGCGTTGCAGAGGCACAGTATAAAGTCGACACAAGAGGTACGAGATGATGTAGGAAGTAGCCGTCGCAAACCTCGTTGCGCCTGTATCTTGTGGACAACACGGCAAACTTTCCAGACACGTGCTGACCACGCTGAGCATCTAGACGACATCATCGCATCGTCCAAGTCCCTAGCCTACGACCTGATGAAGTTCTACCATGGCAACGAGTCCGGCCAGATCCCCGGCCTCCTGCCGGGCCCTCCGGCTTCCGGCACCGGCGACTACTACTGGTGGGAGGCGGGCGCCATGATGGGCACGTACATTGACTACTGGAAGTTGACGGGGGACACGACGTACAACGACGTCGTCACGGAGGGCATGCTGTTCCAGGTCGGCCCCCAGAGGGACTATATGCCGCCGAACCAGACGCTATCCCTCGGCAACGACGACCAGGGCTTCTGGGGCCTGTCCGCGCTGCTGGCCGCCGAGAACAAGTTCCCCGACCCTCCGGCGGACCAGCCGCAGTGGCTCGAGTTGGCCCAGGCCGTGTGGAACACGCAGGCAGACCCGAGCCGCTACGACGAGACGTGCAACGGCGGCCTGCGGTGGCAGATTCCCCGTACCAACGCGGGATACGACTACAAGAACAGTCGGTGGCTGCCCTACTCCCCGAGCCCCCCTTCCCCTGGCAGGTATACTGACTAGTGAGCGCAGCCATCGCAAACGGCATCTTCTTCAACATGGGCGCCCGGCTGGCGCGGTACACGGGCAACGACACGTACGCGGAGAGGGCGGAAAAGGCGTGGGACTGGCTCTGGGGCGTGCAGTACATCGACCACGAGACCTGGGCCGTGTACGACGGCGCCAGCGTCAACGACAACTGCACCGACATCCACAAGACGCAGTACTCGTACAACGCGGGCATCCTGATCCAGGGCGTGGCCTTTATGTACAACCATGTAAGGAAGCCGGCGAGTGGCTCTTGAGGGGAAAATGCTTACACAGATTGGCAGACCAGCGACGACAAGTGGCGCACGCGGCTGGACAGCCTGCTCGACGCGTGCCTGGCGTCCTTCTTCCCCGAGGACATCGCGTACGAGCTGTCGTGCGAGTTCGCGCTCGGCGGCAGCGTCTGCAAGACCGACATGCTCTCGTACAAGGGCTACCTGGTGCGGTGGCTCGGGGTGGTGACGCAGGTCGCGCCGCACACGGCGGCCAAGATCCTCGGCCCGCTGAGGAAGTCGGGCGAGGCGGCGGCCCGGCAGTGCACGGGGGGCGCGTCCGGGCGCGAGTGCGGCTTCTACTGGACCGAGGGCAAGTTTATCGACCCGAGCGTCGACAAGACGAGCGGCGCGGGCGAGGCCATGGACGTGCTGGCCGCCGTGTCGTCGATGCTCATCGAGGATGTGGCGCCGCCCGTGACCAACGACACGGGCGGCACGTCCAAGGGGAACCCGAATGCTGGGGGGAAGGATAATGGCGAGAGGCCGGTTAAGCCTGTGACGGCGGGGGATAAGGCGGGCGCTGCGATTCTGACGATTCTGCTGTTGGTCGGTGCCGGGGGCTTGTTTGTGTGGATGAGCTTCTTTGATCCGATGGTTTCGTGAGGCGCATGACTGGCGTTTGTTTTTACTCGTGTATAGTAGCGTGTGGGGAGTTGCATGTAGACCTGGATGGAAAGGGGCATATAGTTGTATATAATATACCCGGGCCGTGGTTGAAGACAAACTACTGGCCGAGTTGAGACAGACGGCAAACACGGCTTCACCTGCTCACATGATGGATGCTCTCGCAATGTCGCCTCACCGCCTTGGACGTCACAAACCTATCGCCCATCGCCCATCTCTTGGCTCCCGTCTTGGCGACAGCTTCATCCTAGGCGCTTGGCGGCCATCGCCCAGACCGCCGTCTCCACGCAGGCCGGCTTGCCATCTCAGTTCGCACAGAACATCGTCTTGGCACAGCGTGGTCAAGTGCGTCGGCGGCGGCCCGAAGCAGAACGGGGCTCACACGACGCCAGCACCGAGTTGTCATGTTTGCATGGTGACACACGAAGCCAGTTATGGCAATGGCTACCAGGCCATGCAAAGGTGTAGGAGCAATGTGCCAGGATCTGACCAGGCGGCAGCGTTGGCCGCATGGCGTCGAGGACAATCATTTCCCCACGAGGTCGAGCCTATACACTGGCTCCAGCAGCCTCGAATCGAGCCCAGGCGGGCGGACGAGAGAGTATGCGCCGCGGCGCTGGCCAAGAAGTGGAATTTGCCTTCGAGGTTGGTTTCTGTTGGCCTTTGACTCGCAGGCTCTCGTCTCCAGACTTGCCGTCACAAAGGGGCCTACGGCTGTCCAAACACTATATATATATATATATATATATCGTAAGCTCAGTGAGTATAACCGTCCTGATTTTGTCCAATTTCGTCTTCGACCCCAATCTGGCCATTGGCCCGCGAGCTTTGTCGTTGTTGCTGTACTCGGTGCAAAACGGCAAGCGAATAAACGCACAACACTTGCCTGCCGAGTACAACCGTCTTCAGCTCAACAGGCGCAGTTTGGAATAAACCACGGATTCGGACCTCGCACAGCAAAGAGACGAGTTGTCTTGGCGCTGTGGGAGCAGCATTTAAGGAGACTTATTAGACTTTGCGTAAAAAATAAAGTAAAACACTAATTAATACTTGGGTGATTTAATTATTACCTATAATTGCTATCGGGTAAGGAAGGTAATTATATACAAGACAGGTGGCTTAACGGAGAACCAGTCCTGTTAATTCTACTACAGGTTGCGCTATTCTGATCAACCAGGGTATGCATTATAAAAGTACAAGTACACGAACGCCATAAGCATGTCACACGGGCATGTATCCGGCGCCATCCCCATGGCCACGGCTACACATCCGCAAGGGCCCTTTCCCGGATCCTCGACGGGCAACATGACACCATAGTCGCGGCTAGTCCAACTGCCCCTTTGCGTGAAAGTTCCAAATCCGCAGCGCCGTCACGACAATGGCAATCTCGCACCTCTCCCCTAGCCGGCCGTCCCTAGCGCTCCCCAGCATGGACAGCGTAAACGCCTCCCGGCTCACCAGGGACGTGTGCGGAAACGCGAGCGCGGCCACAGTCTCCCCGTAGACCGCGTCGGCTGGACGAGAAGCAGATGCAGAAGCAGATGCGTCGCACTCGGAGCCCCCCTTGGCCTCTGCTGCCATGGCCCGCACCAGCCTGAAGCCGGGCGGCTTGACACCGTCGTCGCCGTCGGTGTCCTGCACCCACGCAAACTTTTGCCTCCTCATGCTTCGCAGGGGCTCGACCTCGACGAAAAAGGTAAACGCGCGTGTCCTGCTGCCCAGCACCCCGGGCCGCATCCTCTCCATGGCCATGGCCCGCGAGTTGGTGCCGAATTCCAGGGGCGGCAGGAAAAACACGCTGTTTGGGTCCGGATCCAGGGGGACGGCGTATATCCTCAGCGCGGACTGCATCTCCTCGCCCGCGGCGGCCAGCACCTCGTCTCTGCTGCGTGGCCCGTTTCGCAGCACCACGCCCGCGCGGTAGCCGAGCGGGTCGACGTGCTGGAAGCCCTTGTGCACTTCGACGTAGTAGAGCCGCTCCTTGTCTGGCCCGCTCAGCGTGATGGAGTTGAGCTGCGAGAGGCGGTGGTGGGCGCGGATCGTGTTGGGGAACGGCCGGTATGGCTTGAGCGGACACGCGCTCCGGTACGATGGGAGGACATGGAGCTCGGGAAGCTCGGTGTATGGAGGGGGGAGGTCTGCATCGTCGTCATCGGCCAGGTTACCGGCCTTCTTGGGCCTGAGGACGGAGCTGAGGTCGCGCGTGCCGGGTCCTTTGGCGACTTTGCGATGAGCGTCCATTCTTTCTTGCGAGAGGATGGAGGGCATTCGATGGATGCACGGTGAGCATGTCGCCGCCGCCGTGATGTGACATCACGTCGGCTGTTTTGTGGTGTTGCATTGGCTGCGTGACGCCACGAGCAGCGCCATTGGACCCCTCGTTGCCAAACGTCCACAATTCATGGCGTCGGGTTTTGTTTGCTCAGGTGACTTGGCTTATTCGTCTTCCCTGTGAAGCCATCGTGATTGGGAAGGTGCGCGCGGCAGAGTACGGGCGACTGAGGGATCGTGTGTGTTGCGAGACGAATGTTGGTGGGATGGAAAGATTGTAATATCACAGGGAGCAAGAGGCGTTCCTGCGACCATCAAAAGTCAGATAGGTCTATCGAGGTCTGGGATACGTGCGTACATGCACAAGGAGCTGCGAATCAAGTCCTCTGCGTCGCTTTTTGTATCGGTGTGAGGCTAGAGTCGTTCCTCGTCCTCAAAACCGATTCACTGCCAACCACCGTCCTGGGCATGCCAAGCCGTATTTAATCATCACAATTCGTCAACCATAGAGGAAATATATCTATATAGCGTGGCACAGTTCTTGGTTGAGGCAGTTTTACGCGTGTGCCGGCTGTGCTTGAGATGGCGAGTATAAAGATTGAGGACTAGTGTCGACGTGAGGAAGCAGGAGTGTTTACTACACCTAGTATGGATTGCGTCTGGCGGGGAAAAAAAAGATACTTAAAAAGAAATTGTGCCAGAACGACGACCAAAAAAATCGACAGAGACAGGATTCGAACCTGCGAGGCCGAAACCAAGTGATATCTATTGCTAGGCGGTTCTTCATACGATTTCTCGCACTCCAGGCCTAGCGCTTCAAGTCACTCCCCTTAACCACTCGGGCACTCTGTCACGGGTTGTTGATGGACGTTTGGAACGAAAACATTACTAAGAAGGCTTTGCGTTAATTTAGTTGTCAGGCCGGAATATCATCAGTGCAACGCAGACCAGTTGACACTAAAATGTTGGGGTACGGTCACCGAGCGCGGGGCTGTTCGAAAAACGCAAGCGCCAAACGAGGCCCCCAGTGTACTGCGTGAGTTGCGACTGATCAAGGCAGGTGATGCGCCACTGCAGACTGGATACCTTCTGCCGTTGTTTGCACTCGACGTTCCTGGCGTTCGTGTTCCCCGCTTGGAGTTTAATGACTTCACACGCCTGGCCAGATGGCCCCAAGTTACCCTATAGCAGTACCCGTGGACATGCCATACTCGAGTGACGTAGTGCTCGTGCAAAGTGCAAATTTTTCTTGCCGCGTTTCACCTTTACAATTGACCGATCTGTGAATGGGAGCATGTTTGGCAAAGATGGGTTGGTGGTGCGTGGCGAGGAGAGTGGTATTGTCTGGTGTGACTTGTTTCTACCAAGGTACTACGGTTAGCACGGAGCACCGGCTGGCAACATGAAGAGCCTGGCTCTGGTGGAGTGTTCTAGAGCAACTGGAAACAAAAGCGGATCGACAGGCATTGCCACTCTGATGATGCACGGCATTCGAGCCAAACTACGTCAGGTCCTGCCATTGCTAGGGTTACGCTGACCAGTGCACGGGTCAAGGATGTTCATTTCCCTTTTTATTTATGTTATTCATTCATCATCATCAAGAGGCGAGAGGAGCCTGATCACGTACCTAGGTGTTCACGGTCCGCCGCCCTAGACAAAGGAAACGAGATGAACAAGCACTCGAGGCCAGCCAAGGGCCAATAAAAGTCGACATCAATTCATGTCTGGTCACCTGTCACCTGGCACAGCCGGGGCCAGGCAGATGTTGCAGATGGCGCTGGGTGCGCAACACGGCCTGATCTGGTCCAACTCGAGGCCCCCACTCGCCTGCCCATCTGCCCATGCTCATCTGCTCATTTGCTCACCTGGTCGCCTCGCGCTGATTGCTGGTTGATGCCCACGTTGGGATTGCAACAGGGAAGGAGCGTCCCACCTTGTTCTACTCCGTACTCCGTACCGTGTTCAACCAGAGCGTGTTGAGTGTGTGCATTGATGTGCAGCCTAGGAACCCCCCGTCGCCCCCCAGCCATCCGAATAACACCCCTCCCTCCCTCTTTCCTCATGACAGCCCTGTTTCGTCATCAACCTCTTCCCCCCCTCTTTGTTGTATTTCCATTTTTTTTCCCCGACCTCTTACCTGTGAGACTTTTTTTGCGTCTTGTTTCGTGGCATCCTTTGTGTCGACATCAACTTCGTTAGACTAAAGCTTAACCCAGACGCCTCACAGACGGGACGACGGGTCGGTCCGTGTCCCCATCCCCCTCTCTCGCACACACACCATGTCCCGATACTACCGGGACAGCGACTCGGACGATGATCGATACAAGCGGACCACGGTGACGAGGTACAAGGTCGGCCCGGAACGACACGGCGAGCGCTTTGAACGGACTGAACGCATCGAAGTCGACGATGACCGCCGCTCCAAGTTCTCCACGCGAAACTCTGGCGACCTGCTGGACGCCCGTGGACCATTATCGCCCGACCGCCCGCGCTCGGCCTTTGAACCCTATGCCGGCGATCGCCCACGCACTGCATATTACGAAAGAGATGTTGAGCGCGAGAGTTACCGAGACCCAGACCGCTCTCGCATCACCGTCTATGAGAGCAAGGAGACGGATAGAGACTGGGACCGCCGCTCGCATCGTGCCCACAACGAAGACGAGCTCAAGGTGGAGAAGCGAGTCGAGGAGCGCTTCGATGACAACCACGGCCACGATGTCGAACGCTACCGCAAGGAAACCGAATACTACATGCCTCAGTCACCCCCGCCCCCTCCCGTCGTCATCCGCCAGCAGTCGACGGAGCCTCAAAAGATTATCGTGCAGGACGCGCCACCCGCTCCCATAGTTGTGCCCCGCCAGCAAAACCCGGGTGTCGTGGTTTTGCGAGACCGAGAGCGGGAGGACCGAGAAATGGTCCGGAGGGACCGAGACATGTACGAAGACGACTACTACTATCGCCATGAGCGCCGGGATGTTGGCCCCTACCGCGGGGACTACTATCGCAATGATCGGGAGAGAGACTATGCCATGGCGCGATATGACCGCCGAAGGAGGGATGCCGACTACTATAGCGATGACGACGAGTTCTATTACCGTCGCACCGTGCGCCGAGAGCGCAGCGAGAGCCCGCATCACAAGCGACGTCTCGCAGAGGGTGCCCTCGCCGGCGCCGGCATCTCTGCACTTATGACCAGCCGCCGCGACGAGTACGGCGACTTGCCCGACAACCGTGGCGGCAAGGTCTTGGCTGGTGCTGCTTTGGGGGCCTTGGGAACTGAGGTCGTTCGGCGCGCCCACAGCGCCTATGAAGACAAGTACGGCGATGGCCGTGAGTCCCCCGATCATCATCACCTCCTCAAAAAGGGTTTGGGCGTTGCCGCCGTCGCTCTGGCCGCTGCCGGCGCCGCCAAGTTCTACCAGGCCAGCAAGGTCGACAAGGAAGAAGCGCACCGTGGCCGGAGCCGTACTCGCGGAGGATACTACTCTGGCGATGACTACTCCAGGTCCGTGTCCCGCGCATCTCACCGCAGCAAGAGCCGACGACGCAGCATTTCTACCGCCGCCAAGGCTGCTATAGGAACCGCTGCCACAGCCGGCATCATCAAGCACTTCCGCGACAAGTCCAAGTCTAAATCCCGCCACGGCAGTCGCTCCAGAAGCAAGTCCCGACTTCGACGTGTGGCTGAGATTGGAGGTGTTGCCGCCGCCGCCGGCGTGGCCAACAAGCTTTGGCAGAACCACAAGGAAAAGAAGGAAAACACTCGCGACCTTAGCGCAAGCAGTGACGATGAGTACTACCGCCGTCGAGACTCGAGAAGCAGACACAGGAGCCTCAGCGGCAGCAGGCATCGGAGCAGGTCGAGGTCGATGGCACGATCCCCTTATTCGCAGCCCGGTGCTGATCCTGAGCTAGGCCTAGTTGAGTACGGTAACGACCCTTTGTATCCCGAGTCCCGAGACGCCCTGGCCCGACGATATGCCGATTCGGAGGCTGAGGAAGAACGTCGCAACCGGCGCAGACGCAGAAGACGCGACCGCTCCGCCTCCGCCTCCGCGTCGGATAACGAGCACGAGAGGAAACGGAGCAGAAGTAGATTGAGAGACATGGCTGCCGCAGGAGCTGCGGCCGGCGCTACTGCCATGGGCATCAAGGAGTTCAAGGACAGAAAGGATAGAAAGGATCAGGAGAAGCGGGACAGAAGGTCCAGGGAGAGGGATGACGAGAGAAGAAGTAAGTATGCGCCCCTTTCTTGGTAAATTAAGTACTACAGTTTTTAGCAGACGTCGTTTTGGTGCAAAAGACAAACACTGACCACTCCTCGGCAGGACGTGAAGATGACCAGCGAAAGGACTACTTTGACGACCATGTGCGACCACACTCGCCTCCTACAGCATCGGGTGGCGCATACTATCCTCCCTATCCTCCAACGCCCAATGGGCCACCCATGGCAAGCGGCGCCAACCGTGCTCCGTATCCTGACCAGAATGGCGGCGCTCCTCTGCACCGAGAGTACCAGCCGTACGTGCCGCAAGATTACACAGGTTACGCACCGCCGCCTCCGCCGCCCCCGGCCGGCCCTCCCCCCCCTTCGGAGCCCGGCTTCCGTGGTGCCGGATACACACCGGGTCCGCCCCCTCCACCCGCAGGTCCGCCACCCACTGGCGGAAACCATCCGCCAGACCATGTGAGTGATCAAGTCCGAAGCCAAGATAGCCCCGCGAGAGATGCAGCAAATGGTGCGTGGAATCGTACTTTGCGGGAGCAACATGGACTGGACACCACCAACTAACAAAATACTTGCAAAGATGATGTAAATAGACCGTATGGCTCTGGTTTGGGCAGCGGGCCGGCGGCCGCCTCAAAATCCGTATCATTCATCCCCCTGTCCCCGAAGAGCTCCATGACAATGGAGCGGCACAAGAGGGAGCATGCAGAGGCTTCAGAAGACGAGGATTCGCGTCGCGCGGACGAGCCAGGTCCAAGGGACAGGGACCATGACGACGCCCACGGCAGAGGCAGGCACCGCGGCTCGAACCGGGCAAGATGGTCCGACCCAACGCCTTCTCGCCCCTTGGTGCGGCGCAGCAGGCGGTCCAGGGATGACGGCTCGGGGTCCGATGACTCGGGGGATGACGTCGAGGTCCTACCAGACCGGTTTGACTCCCACGGCAGACCTCTGGACGGACGCTCCTCAAGCCAGGACAGGTGGACCACAAGAAGGGGTACTTTCAGACGGGAGCCCCAGCGCCCGGGGGGATGGGACGTGCAGGGAGCATGGCAGGTCAGCGGGACGGACGGGCAGGCCGTGGACAATCTGGTCAAGAACGTGACGGGTGCGCTCGAGGGCCAGACAGGCTGGATGGGCGTCATAGGGCAAGTTTTGGGCTCGGGGCTTCTTCAAGGGGCTGACGAGGCGGGGGGCAGCAGACGGAGACATGACGATGAATACGATGATGAAGGTGATGGGCGGAGAAGGCATAGATTGCGGAGGTGAAGTTGGGTTGCAAACGATGTAATGACGGATACGTATTTCTTTGTAACGATTTTCTTTTTCTTCTCTTTTTTTTCCCCCTCTCTTTTCTTTTTTTTATATTTAGATGCTATTTCTTCTTCCCTTTTAATGGATTCCATATAATGATATTATGGCTTATGAGTTACGAGCTTGGAGTATGCGACGCGTTACACGTTTGTTTTGAACCTTGGGTATGTTCTCACAGGTAGATATGGCTTGCAGCTCCACCCGATAGATTACGACACACTGTAGTCTCACGTGGCCGGGAGAGGATATTGGAATACTATTACTTTTTAATTGCCAATGCGCCACTAGAATAAGGAACAAAAGTCAAATACATGTAGTGGTCAACGAGTTTCAATGTTGTCCCCCCCACGGGCCACGAACCAGGCACGTCCCTACCGCGCAGTCGTAGTCGTAGTCTAGAGCAAATGATCAGAGTCAGTAAGTGTGAGCTCTCAAGAGAGGGTCAGAGCCAGGGTTAGGGTTGAGGTTACCGCAGCGGTGGCCGTCCGCGGCCCGGGGCCAAGGGCCTCGGTGGGCACGGCCCTGCCGCACTCGAGCGTGGTGGCGACAAAGGCCTCGTCGGTGACGGTGTAGTAGTGGTAAAAGTCGCCCTTGACGTTCTGCCAGTAGTACCTGGTGGACCAGGCGAGGGCGCAGGTGCCGCAGTCCTTGGTGACGGTGCGCTCGGTGGAAAACTTCCACTTGAGCTGCTTGTTGGCGCGGAGGGCGCCGCCGCCGTAGACGAGGGTGGAGCTGGTGCAGGCGGGCGAGGTGACGCCGGGCGGGGTGATGGTGGACGGCCCGCGGTCCGGGTAGGTGACGTAGATGGTGGACATGAACTCCTGCGTCTTGGTCAGGGTGCTCCAGGGGTCGGTGGGCGTGTGCGGCGGCGGCACGTAGCCGGCGTCGTCGGGGCTGGGGGCGCGGCAGGCCACCTCGGTCACGGTGAAGGGGTAGTCGGCCGTCGAGGAGTCGTATACCTTGGCCCAGGCGTAGCCCTTGTGCGGCGTGGTCCAGACGATGGCGCAGGCGCCGCACTTGTGGAGCAGCGTCGTGGTGATGGTGGATGTGTAGACGTCCTGCGTCCAGCGGTTGTGCGTGTCGCCCACGCGTGTCCAGCGCGTGCACTCGGGCTTGGTGGTGCCGCGGGGCCACGCTGTGCCGATGCCGAAGTCGTAGTGGATGTAGGGGTGGAGCACCGGCAGCGTTGTGCTGCGCGTCGTCCACGGGTTGCCGGGCTCGGTCCACTCGTCGGAGTCGGTGGAGACCGGGGTCGGCTCCGTGTTGAGCACCACGATGGTTGTGGAGGCGGAGGGGGGCGGCGTCGTCGGCGGGTTCTCGTTGAGTACTACGGTGGTGGTTGACGTGCGGGAGGGGAATGGCGCGGCCGGGTCGTCGTTGACTGTCGCGGTGGTCGTCTCCGGAGCCGGGCCTGGCACGGTTGGCTCTTTGGTGACAATCACCATGGTGGTGCCGGGAGATGGAGATGCGGTCGGGTCCTCAATGAACACTACAGTAGTTGTCTCGGCAGATGAGAAAGACGCGGTCGGGTCGTCGTTGACTACCGCAGTAGTCGTCTCCGGAGCTGGCTCAGCCGGGTCTGAAACGGTCGGGTCTTCGCTGATTATTACTGTCGTGGTGCCGGGAGATGAAGAGGCAGTCGGATCCTCATTAATAATCACTGTGCTTGTTTCGGCAGATGGAAACGACACAGCTGGGTCCTCCTTGAGTACCACTACAGTCGTCGTCTCAGCAGATGAAAACGACCCAGTCGGATCCTCGTCGACCATCACACTCGTCGTCTCAGCAGCCGCACCCGTCTCGGTAAAGGCCTCGTCCCACCACACGCTGGTAGGTTCCTCTCTAATCGTCACGCTGGCCGTCAGCATGGTCCGCGACTCCAGGGGCGCTGTGATGGAGCTCTCGGCCGCCGCGAGGTTTAAGAGCGCCGCAAGCGCTACCGCGGCGCGCATTTCAGCCCGTATTCGATGAGTTTGTGCGTGGAAAAGAATAATATCCCAGGGCAGGGCATGGTGCCAGAATGAGCGGGAGGCCCTGGGCCACCAGGCACCGTTGCCGTGTCTTTATACCGCCGCAAAGGCAAGGCGATAGTGTGAATCGTAGTCATCATGATGTCAACTCTTGACAACTCCAGCTGGACGGATGGCCAGACTAGCCGTGTTCCAAGGCTATAACTTGCGGCAGGCAGATGGCGCGCCTCCTCGAGTGAGGTAGAGGTACTCGGGGGAACAACCATAATTTTGGCTGCTTGCTAATGGCAACTAGTCGGACCTAGTTGATGCCAACGTGGGAGAATGGCAGACTGGGGGAAAGCTTATCTGGAGCTTGGGTCATGACATGATGTCCTTTGCTGCATATTCCGAGTGGCGTGTGGACAGAGTGGTTGCACCACCTCGCAAGCCCTGCCAAGAATGACATTGCAACTACGATATTCTAAGCTCGTGCGATCGGCGGGTTCCAGACAGTTCCATCATCATTCTCCAACAAGTCGTCGTGACAATAGTGGCAAAGGCACAAACACCATTCTCGTTGGCGTGAAATCATGCTCTCGCCGGTGCCGTCCAAGGGACATGGGCCGTATGAGTCAACATCTTGACGATGCCATGCACAAGCAACACTGGATACATGATGACGTGTATTATACACAGTACGTATTCACCCACGCAATACCCGGTCTATATGGTATCTTTATGCCAACATGTTACACCGGACTCCCCTTGCATTACTTCATCATAACTCATCTCGCGCCACGGCCGGCTCCGGTCGCCCACTATCTTTGTGCAAGTCAACGCCCTTTGTTGCCCTCCACTTTTCCCACAAATCCCAAAAGTCATTTTCCATCTTTTTCTCCATTTGGTCCGGGAGAATAACCTCATATGTGACGTAGAGATTCCCGAATTCGTGTTGGTGGCCCGGGCTCTCGCCATCCTCGTGCCATTTGGGCATGCCTTCGCCGGGGATCGTCTCGACGTGGCCGCTCTGTACCACTTGGCCGCGGGTGCGGCCGAGACGGACAACATGAGAATCGAGATGAGTAATGTTGCGCGTCCAGCCACCCATCCACGCCTCGCGGAGGGACAGCACTTCCGTCCAGTACAAGTCATCGCCTTTGCGGCGAAAGTAAGCGCCGTCTACCTTGTCGGGATTGTCTTCGGGTGCCGGCTCTTTTTCCGCAAGAGTAACAACGAGGTCGCCCGCAACCCAGTCGGGGCTCTCGTCGGCTTCGTTTTCGTACACAACCTTGGAGTCGCGACCGGCACCCCGTTCAACCTGGAGAGTGACCGTCGTTGGCTTCCTCTCGACTCGCTGGCCATTACAAACGGGGCACTTGTGCTTGATGCTCTTGCCACGACCTCCACACGCATCGCATCTCATCTGCATCTGCTGGAACATGCCTGGGGCGAGCTGTTGCTTGACAATGCGAACGCCATGTCCGCCGCAAACCGAGCACGTATCGACTTGGCCGTCTGCACTGCCTGTTCCCTCACAGGTCTCGCATATGTGCTGCCTGTTCCACTGGAACTCGGTCGTGGCACCATTGTAGAAGTCGCGAAGAGAGATCTTTATCTTTACGTCGACGTTGTGGCCGCGGGGTTCTTGGGAGGAATGGCCGTAATGACCATGGCCACCGAAGAATCGACTGAACAGGTCAAAGGGGTCGTGGAAGCCGCCGCCTTGGCCGCCGTTCTTGTGTTGCTTGACGCCATCGTGGCCGTGACGGTCGTAAATCTGGCGGAGTTCGTCGTCGCTCAAGACTTCGTATGCCTCCGATAACTCGACGAGCTTCTGGTGAGCGCTTTCTTCATCTCCACTGTGTTTCAGTTAGCGCCATGTCTACAAGGAGATAATCTCTGCCGCAGTAGGCCAACGTACTTGCGCTTGTCAGGATGGAATTTAACCGCAAGTTTCTTATATGCTGCCTTGAGTTGCTTGTTCGTGGCTTGTTTGTCGACACCAAGAATCTAGTCAAGTTAATCTTGCGTATCGCAAAAGAGCCTTGCACATTTACATACCTTGTAGTAGTCCTCGGCGCATATCGCAAGTTGGACCAGGGCTAGCAAGGAGAGCAAGGCGAAACCGTGAAGTAACATGACTGCGCGTGGCCCCAACCGAGGGGTAAGGAGTCTAGAAAAAAGCCAGTCTGCTGAAAAAAAGAATATGTTTACTCCTTTACAAGTACCGCAATCGACGGGCGGCGGGCAGCGGCAAAGGGGGTGGAATGAGAGTATGAAATGAACTGGCACCCGCTGCAATTTGGAGGAACATCAGTACTTAAGTAGGTAGTTTGGCAGTTCGAAATTCTGAATATACCAGCGTGTTAACATGGGATTCGACCCCTGTTTGGTCTAAACGTGGAAAGTTAGACCGGGGTGGGATATTGGGAGGAATTTATTGGCTGGAAGTACTAGATCAGCCCCACCCATCATGACGGAGTTGATCCGTCCCAAAATTCTGGAGCTCTGCGTGCGCGCTGGTGACTCTGGTTCTCTTGTCGACGGAGCAATTTTACAGCTCCTCCACGATCTTTCGCCCGACAGTACTGCCATCCGACCCCTCATCGTCGGCTTACTCGCCTGCCATGAGTTCCAAGAAATACGCCTTCATCCCTATGGATGACGATGAGGTCGGTCCTCAGAAGGTCACCAAAGAAAGGAAGCAGCGGCACAGACGTGATCGCGACAAGTACGAAAAGTCATCATCTAGGACCTCCAAGTCTCGTCGAGACAAAAGTCGTTCTCGCTCACCCCGGCCCTCTTCCCACCCAAGCCGCTCAAAAAGCTATCGCCGACGCGATGACGGAGGAGACTTTGGCGATCGATGGGCGGATGAGGAACCGCCTTCCGATGACCCCGACGCGCAGGCACAAGACAATGAACCCGAGTTCAAAGAATCAGCAAGCAAGCGAGTCAAGTTGAGTCACGATGACCGTGAGCAAGACGACGCAGAATTGTCCGATGGGGCCAAGGAGGAGCTTGCCAGACAAAGGGACATTGAGGAACGCGAGGCTTTTGCAAAACGATTAAAGGAAAAGGATGATGAAAGATCTAAAAAGAACCTGCGAGATGGAGAGTCTTCATCAAGACGGAAACTGGCAGATGATGCTGCTGCCAGAGATGCTGCTCTGCCAGATCTCCGAGAAAGATCCCGTCAAGAGTATCTCAAGAAGCGCGAAACCGAGCGACTTGCACTGCTACGAAAACAGGTGGCGGAAGAGACGGCAGAGCTGCGAAGCGGTGCTCGACTGTCTGAAAAAGAGAAGTCGGAGTTTGCTAAAAATAGGGAGATTCTGCGTCTGGCCGAAGAGAGATTGAAAATCGATGATCATCGCGACGGTTATTACATGCCCGAAGACTATATAACAGAAAAGGGAAAACTGGACAGGAAAAAGAAGGAGGAAGCTCTATACAAGAGATATGTCGAAAGGGATGAATTTGGCCAAGAAAAGTTTGTCACCGAGCATGAGGAATGGGAGCAAGAACAGGCCGCCAAGGCCAAAGCGCAGATCCAGCGAGCAGAGATTGAAAATGACGACTATGATTATGTTATGGACGACCAACAATATATTCAGTGGAGCCTCGACTCACGAATGGCTGGCGAGGGCAAGACGAAGGAACAGGTGTTTTTAGAAGCCCAGATTGACGCCGCTGAGAAGAAGGCCCTTTCTATCCAGGAGACTCGCAAAAGTTTACCCATCTACCAATACCGAGATGAGTTTCTGGCTGCATTGGAGCAGTATCAGATATTGGTCATTGTTGGAGAAACTGGCAGTGGAAAGACAACGCAACTGCCCCAGTACCTTCACGAAGCTGGGTATACAAAAAATGGCATGAAGGTGGGTTGCACGCAGCCCCGTCGAGTCGCTGCAATGAGTGTCGCTGCTCGTGTGGCGGATGAAGTTGGCGTCAAGGTTGGAAACGAAGTTGGTTACTCGATTCGTTTTGAAGATTGCACCAGCGATAAAACAATCCTCAAGTATATGACGGATGGCATGCTGCTCAGGGAGTTTATGACAGAGCCAGATTTGGCTGGGTATTCAGCACTGATGATTGACGAAGCACACGAACGGACCGTGCACACCGACATCTTACTTGCCCTTGTCAAGGATTTAGCACGGGAAAGAAAGGACCTTAAGCTTCTCATCTCTTCTGCTACCATGAATGCGGAGAAATTCGCCAATTATTTTGATGATGCACCGATTTTCAATATTCCCGGTCGAAGATACCCTGTTGACATTTACTATACGCCCGCCCCTGAAGCCAACTACCTGGCCGCGGCTATCACGACCGTTTTCCAGATTCATACGACACAGCCCAAGGGCGACATTCTCATCTTTCTCACCGGCCAAGATGAGATTGAGGCTGCGGAACAGGAGATTACAGAAACAGCAAAAAAGCTTGGCAGCAGAATAAAGGAACTGGTGATTTGCCCCATCTATGCCAACCTGCCATCAGATCTGCAAGCCAAAATCTTCGAGCCGACGCCTGAAGGGGCGAGAAAGGTTGTTCTTGCCACCAACATTGCCGAGACCAGTTTGACTATCGACGGAATTGTCTATGTCATTGACCCTGGATATGTGAAGGAAAACATTTACAATCCTGCCACTGGCATGTCAAACCTGGTTGCAGTACCCTGCTCTCGGGCATCCGCCAACCAGAGAAGTGGGCGTGCCGGTCGTGTCGGGCCCGGAAAATGTTTCCGCCTGTACACAAAGTTTGCGTACATGAACGAGATGGATGAGTCAACTACGCCGGAAATCCAGCGGACAAACCTCAACGGGGTTGTTCTGCAGTTGAAGTCGCTCGGCATCAATGAGTTGCTTGACTTTGAGTTTATGGATCCACCTCCAACAGAAGCACTAATCGGCGCCCTGAATCAGCTGTTTGCCCTGCAGGCTCTGAATCACAAGGGCGAACTAACGAAAATGGGCCGTCAGATGGCCGAGTTTCCCACCGACCCCATGCTGGCCAAGGCCGTGCTGGCTGCCGACAAGGAGGGCTGTGTCGAGGAAGTGCTGTCGATTGTCTCCATGCTCGGCGAGGCTTCCGCCCTGTTCTTCCGACCCAAGGACAAGAAAATCCACGCGGATAGTGCCAGAAACAGATTCACCGTCAAGGACGGCGGGGACCACGTCACTTTACTCAACATTTGGAATCAGTGGGTGGACAGCGATTTTTCGCCAGTCTGGTCGCGCGAAAACTTCCTGCAACAGCGGTCACTTACCCGCGCGCGCGACGTGAGGGACCAGCTGGCGAAGCTCTGTGAACGAGTCGAGGTGTCACCATCGACGTGTGGCGCCAGCAATCTTGGGCCGATCAAGCGTGCCATCACGGCGGGCTTCTTCCCCAACGCGGCACGGCTGCAGAAGAGCGGCGACAGCTATCGCACCGTCAGGAATAACACGACGGTGTGGATCCACCCCAGCAGCGTGCTCATGTCGGTCGACCCCCCTGAGAAGATGATTATATACTTTGAGTTGGTGCAGACAACCAAGGAGTATATGCGCGGGGTGATTCCCATTGAGCCGAGGTGGTTGGCTGAGCTGGCGCCGCACTTTCACAAGAAGAAGGATGTGGAGGCCATGGAGGAGAAGAAGATGCCCAAGAAGCAGAGATAGCATGGCGCACGCTTGCCGCTCTTGATGAAGTTATGAATGTACATTTACTTTGCGGGACTAGGATGCGGGGGGCGTATTGTCGGAAATGTATATACTTGGTACGGCGCCAGCAGCCCCGGCTGGCCTTGCTAGTTTCGACATGGAAGATGGTAAGAAGACAAACTTGCTATTATTTGGAGATATTCGTGCTATGTCCATTTGGTGTCATCTGATAGCTGTCATTTTTTACGGCTAATTTCGCAGCGGAGACGGCAAGAGAAGCCATTTTAGCACTGCTACTAGTTTGGTCATGCCTGCTGAATTCCATAGGCTAAATATGGCTAATTCAGCAAGACATCGAACTGAGTCACGTCCTGAATGAGGTAATTAGTTCTGATGACAAGTTGCCTGTGGCATCTACCAGAGTCACAAGGCTTTAATTATACTAAAAGTTCCGAAAGGGCGGCAAACAAGTCACGGTGGGTTTTGACGCCCACAGCGGAATGAGCGCAGTGTGAAAATCGTCATCACAGTAAAGGCACAAGTGTAAATGTACAGTATGATGCAATAACCGATGCGGAATTGAGCTATCAGGGCGATGGTCCAATATCTGTTCCATCATGTGTTGAACTAGTCTGCCATGGAGGCTCTGAACATCTTCAGCGACAAGACTAGTCGTAAATTCGAGAAACTGCCGCGCCGACAATATCGTACAGATACCCTCATCCAGTCCCCATGTGTTGCCATACGCTGTGAGCCGTCCTGGCCATCCGGGACGACGAATGGCATATGATCTCGCTTAGGGGCCGATATAGCGATACATGACGTCCGTCCGCACCGAGTACTTGACCCCTTCCGTGACGTCTGCGCCCGAGTGCCGCAGGCCGCTCTGCTGGAAAATGAGAGTGCGCCCCGTCATGGCTTGAATGTCAAAGGACCTCGTCTCGTCTTCGGAGTAGAAGCTTGTCGCGCCTCCCACACAACCCCCCTCTGGTGGTGGGGATTGCATGGTCGACGAGTTCAAGTACACGTGGATAGAGTAGAAAGAAGCGTAACGTGTCCCGTTCTCGCTTGGGGGCGAGTATGACCCGTCGTCATGTGCTGGCTCCGTCAGTCTCTATCATGGAAAGGTCTGGGATGAAACTTACCCTTGAAGTATTCCCCTTGGGTATACCTGAGGATCCTCAACCGGTTGTTGAGTCCCACAAGTTCCCAGTGCTCAGGGTTGACAGCTGCTTGGTCCGATGTTTCGTCCAACTTTGGTGGTCTGGCCAGGACCTCTTTGACTCCCGGGGCCTCAAGACATCGGTTGAAAATCGAGTCCACCATGCCTTGGTGATCCCAGACCTTGCGCGAGCCCGAGCGGTATTTGGGGATGTGCGACTCCAAGCCTCCCCCGACGTTGATCAGCGCTGGTGACCAATCTGGTACTGCCTCCTTTGCCAGCTCCATAAATTGTTGGCATTCGGGTTCCGATAGAACGTTGTCTAGAACGACGGCGATCTTGCCTTCGTACTCTGGGATACTGGAAGAAGCGAAGTCGACGTGTCCCATCTTGACGGGCTCAGGAGGTGGCCCAGCGAGGAAATCCTCGGGGATGGCGACATCGTTGTAGTTGTATTTAACGAAGCGGGGCTCGCCCGCCTTGATCTCTTCTTCTGAGGCGTATCCCATGTTGGCGGTTGCAGGATGAGCGGATTTCTGGGCGGTTGGATGCTCGAAGATGATGGTGGTTGTTGAAGTTCAAATCGCTATTTGGAGAAGACGATTTGAGGATGAGGATTCACCTACGGAAGTGCTGGGAAACGTCGTCTTTATATATTGCGGCGCGACTGCCAGGCCGCAGCCTGCAGATGTTGAACTGAGTCTGACTGAAGCTGATCATGCTTGCAGGGAAAGTCGTGAATCGTGATGAGCTACGCCTCCCCATGCACAGGTTCGTTTTCTTTATTGCATGTTTCAACGCTCATGCAGCGAGGAGCACGCATCTGCCGAAACCTGGCTGGCCATCAGTTTATGTTCAGGTCGTCTCCCAAGAATGTACAGAGCACAACGGCACCTCTCACCGTGTCACCCCCAAGAGGCAGCAGCATGCAGCTGCACATGTACGATGGCCCCGCTGCCAGGGCGAAAGGTTGGGAAGAGAAATTGCCGTTTGAACATGCGCTGATGCCCTCCGCCTTTGTTGGGACTAGGCTTTGTGGACGTTTGTGCCTGTGTGAAACGTAAGCAGGGGCGAAGCATCTCGTTGGGACAATGCGTCAACCGTCAACGACAATCAGTGCACGCATGTGGTAGCGAGGCGTCACCTGATGCGTCTGGTTGCCGAATTTCCAATCAACTACGGAGTACGTACTTCGTACTCTGTACCGTGACACAAAATATCACAGCCACCAGAGCTCTGACCACAGACACCTAGCAGACAGTTGAACACTCGACACCCAGTTCCTCTGCGGAGTGCTTGCGCCCAAGATGACCCTACTTTGATCTTGTCGCCATTCCGTACTTCGTCTCTCAGCTAAACTCCGCTTCTGCTGTCCGATTGCGGTTCCAGGGCTCGTGAATGGCCTTGTTGTTAATGAACAGGCCGTTCGTCTCGCACGCTGGTCCTCTGTCGTCATCTTGTTGTAGACGATTGCGATTTATGACCGGAGTACAACACACAAGAAACAGAATACACGAGGCTTCACTGGCAGCCCTCACTAGCATGTACTCGCGTCATAGTCCTACGGATTCATCAAAGATCATGCTCCCGGGTGGTATCAGCAGACTCGCCCACTCCGACGACATTCGGTATCCCATACCCAGGACCAGAGCCGCCTTGCACAGCCCGAGAGGCAATTCACAGTGCCCCGAAACATGTGAGTCGACCGAGCCACGATGCTCCGAAACACCCCCAAATGTGGATGGAGAACGACGACAGCATAAGGCAATAATTGTGACCCTGATTCCCATTGCCGTATTTCTGGCTGCGGCCTCCATCAGCTGGTTCATCATCCAGATGCCTACTTCTCCCCCTGGCGGCTTTTCCCCCGTCTCAAGACCACTCTGTTTCCGGCTCCAATCTAGTCAGCACGTACGACCACCCCAATTGAGATTTAAAGTGGCGAAATGGCCACGACGGACTTGATGACCGAGGTGAAGTACTCAAAGCTAAGTGGACGAAACCACCTTGTCAAAGAATGCAACAGTTCCAGACAGTTTCTAGCAGAATGGTCGACAGGTTGACCGAATGAAACAGCCTCGCCCGCTGGACAGTGAATAACTATCAGCACATGAACTCAAGTGTTACCTCACCTTGTCTGCCGCCATCGTTGGTGACATGGAAAAGAAGGCTGCCCAGTTGTAACAGCTCTTCGACGAGCAGGCAAGCAAAGCCGCCACCCAGCTGAATACGCTCCTTGTTGATGGCAAGCATCTTGAAAGCGACTTCAGTGTGCTTGCCTACCATCTACTGAATACCAAGGACCTTTCCGAGCCAGGGAAATCTCAATTGAGTGGAGATGAAGTGCTGCTCTCGGTGGTCTGTGGCCTTGTCAACCATGCGTCTTGCAGGCTAATTTCACTGAAACATAGTGGACTAAGATCTTAATCCTTCGTTGCCGCCTATCTTAGAACCTCTTTATTACACTGGTAGGTCACAACAAAGGCGTTGGGCCGACAACATTTACACAACAACTAGAAGGTATCACGACTCAAGAGACCTAGGTTGGGGCCTCGGGCCAGAGCTGTCTCAGGCCTCTAATGCTCACCCACGTCTTGGATATATAGAGTCTCTTCGTCCCTCGAGGCTTCTTAATAGAACAAGAGCCTTGATGCCTCAAAGCCGAGTATCAAGGACTGAATTGAACTTGTCATGTTCCAAGCCCAGATACACTGCCCTTGTCACATTCTTACTGCTGGGAGTCCTGGGATAAAGTAAACAACGTTGGCACCCGTAAATTGGATTCAATTCTACGATCCGATATTCTATGCTGGCTTGCATCAATTCTCAGCGTAATATGGCAAGAATATGAGCGCCGGATTGCGTGCCGTCAATCCAAGCTGTACATGGTTCGTCAGACGCTCGCATCTGCATGTCTCGCCATCTCGGGCAGACGAAGGAATCATGAAGTTCCCTGTTGCGTAGTGAGCGAGGTTATAAAAGCCAATCTGCGAATAAATGGCGCCACGGCGTGAAACATGCGCAATACGCTGAAGCATGTCGGGCAGACCGCCATTTCCACGCACAAAAGCATCATGAGGAGGAGAAATCTCGGGTCAACGTGCTTCTTCCCCTAAACTCTAATAACCTACCGGTCACCCCTGTTTGGGGGTTCGCCTTTTGCACGGGATTCGGACAGAACCCTACCGCGAGGCTTCAGTCCGACGACGCTCAATACGCTTCACAAGAGGAAGAATCCGCTGTACCGGAAGCCCTGTGAGAATTGCAAGGTCCTTTTGCCACAACTGGATGTACCGGTGGGCCAAGCCAGTTTGACCATGACCTGTACACGGTGTATCCAAACGCAGGGAAGGATGTATGGTAGATTTGTAACCTGGTAAAATACTTGGGGTTTTACATCTAGCTAAAGCCGCTAGCTTGTTATTCGATTCAAACCCTTACATAAACAGGAAGAGGTACTCGAGTTATTTATAATACGCTATTACTGCGCAAGCAACTTGTCACGCAGCACGATTATATAAGATGGTCTAAATGAAACAGGAGACTTTACATTTTTTTCTTTCTAATAAATACAATATAAAGCTATAAAATATTATCGGTAGAGTAAATTATATGGCATATTATATTACGAAACTATTTACCTTCATATAGTGAATTACTTTTAATCTATTATACTTCTATCCTATTGCAGTACATGCGGCGAGCCCCGGCCCTAGAAGCCTACTCCAACAGGACAACCTGAAAAAAATAGGGGAACCATGAACAAGAACTGCCGAGATGTAGCAACATGGGTTGAGAGAATGCCAAATATATTGTGGCCCTTACCCCATAGGCGGCGCACCCGGCACACGCGTTCGATATCTGCGTCGCGACAGGCAGCCGGCCCTTCAACGTGCGAAGAGGAATCGTGGGAATGGCAGACGTCCTGCCCTCGACGACGACTACATGGACTTGTCTGGGAACATTCTTGTCCGTTTTCAGCCGCGTGGATATATATACCTCGTGTGTATAGCGTGATGGAAAACGCGTGCACCCTGTGGAATATCAAGTGTTGAATCTGGCCGGGAGTCGGAAGTCAGACGGCTGCCAGTTTCGGACGCCGACCAATACGTGAGTGGCCGGACCGAGATCGGCCCCACACCGACTTGCGCCGTACGGGGACGGATGGTCAGGCGGAACGTATCAATATCTAGCTACAAAACGGCCATCGACTTTGGAAAAAGGCCCCTTTCCATCATGATCATCGCCTAGTCTTGACGGGCAATGAGTACTAGGCGGTGCAGGACTACTCCAAGATACACATGGCTTTGGATTTGTGGCCAACAGGTACGCCATTTTGGGTGGGCAGCCCTGAGGTTGCACGCCTGTCAGCTGTGCGCCATTTTTCATATGTAAGAGAGGAGCCCTCAAGCTCGGCTTGTCTGGCAAATCTGCGAAATGTGTGAGGGGTTTATTTCTACGAAAATGGCAGATCTGGAAACGGGAGATGCATATATCAAGACAGGGCTGAGTGGCATGTTTCCAACTGCACATCACATCCCGTTGTAGGCCAAGAATAGGCAAAAAGGAGTATTCGCTTTTATACAAAACTATGCTTTGAACGCCGTCCCAGAAATACAAATGCCTCATCTTCATACGCGCCATCACTCGCCATGTCCTTGCCCTACGCGTCATAGCCATGTTTGGATCCCAAAACGCCGTCGCCGCCACTGCTTCTCCTCCTCTTGCCAATCACCTCACGGAACCACTCGCTCAGCGTAAAGCCCCAGTGCCCAGCGACCAACACGCCCGAAAGCACATTGATGAGCTTGACGACAAACATCAAGATGCCGTCGCGCTTCTCGTTTACGGATAGCAGGATGGGCTCAATGTCGTACTTGACAAAGACGCCGGGAACGTTGTATTCAGACACGCCCTTGCTCTGCTCGGTAACGGCATACTGGTTGGTAAAGATGGAACTGGAGCCGACGCTGTAGCGGGTTGGCACCACGGAGACGTAGTACTGGAATTTGTGGAAGTGGTTCTCGGCAATGTTCAAGGTGCGATCAAGAGGGTTCACCAGGGATGGGTAGTATGAGCCAAAGGACAATTCGGAGATGATGTGTGAAAAGTTGAATTCTGCGTCATCTGTCAGTCTCTTCTTTCTCTTCCCCCTGCGAGTATTCACAAGCATAGTTACTCACGTTCGTGGTCCAAATGGCTACCCTGGCCACGGTACCCATGGCCTCTAGCCGTTATGTGAAAATCACCCTGCACCTTGTTCAAATCCAAGCTTCCATAGACTCGGCAGCTATCAGGGGGACCTTTGACTCGAGGCGTCTTGGCCCATTTGGCCCTCCTCTGGCCGAGAGCCACGATGTCGTGAACGTGTTCCTCCCCAAAGCCTTCGTCGTCCAGGTTCTGCCACCCTGCGCCGGTTATGACACGGCCCTCGCTGTCTCTCCCCAGCTTATGCACACCCTTTTGGTTCACCCACTGTGACCAGCTCGTCTCGTCCATGTTCAGCTTGGAGCCGGCCAGGATGCGGTCGCCAGCAGCATCCTGGACGTTGATGTGTAAATCGCCGCACTTCATAAGGATGACGGTATCGAGATTGATTTGCATCGAGTGTGAAATTCCCTTTTCAACAGCGAATGTATGGGACTCGGCGCCGCGCCACCATCGTGCGATCTCGGCCCAAAGCAGGAAGACGGACACGACTGCCATGGCCACAGTCCATTTGCCGCCACCTTCGGTACGGGTGACATATTCGGGTTTTGACTTGGCTAAAGGAATGCAGAGTGAGTATGAGGTCAAGGCATTATGCGTATGCAAAACTTACGAAAGGCGTCGAATGCGCTCACAATGCTGCCTTTTGCGCCAAAGTTGTCCTCATTGAGGCCCTGCTTCTCGTAGTGATTCATGGTGCATGCGGCTCCGGGAGAGGGCCAGGAACAAAAATACAACCTAGGATCGGGACTGAATATTAGTCCATCAACACCCCAGAATATATTTAGGTTTGCAGTCCAATCTTGCGAATGGAAGACGTTGTGGAGGGTGGACGGGGCGCTTTGATGCTGCTCAGGTGTGTGGAATGTAATAATAGCATCTTGAGCCTTGAGGACAGCTTGACATTAAGCTCACACACAAAGAAGTGCCCCTTGTTCGAATTCCAGATGATGATTGGCTGAAGGGACAGGTTCGGGATCAAAGTCGGACCGTGTACCCTTGTGGGTCCTTTGTGAGTGCCCAGGGGCCGAGGTGAAATGGACGTGTTTGTGACGCGGCTGACTGGGTGCCACCAGCAGGGCAAAATCCTACCAAAACATTAGACCCGACTCTTTCGATGGTCTCATCAGGGCGTCATGATGAGGTGGCACGGTCTTTGGGCCAACCCTTGTCAAGTCGCCAGTTACAACATCAGCAGGAAAACAGCTTGTCAACGTCATGCGGCCTCTGCAGGCACCAGACAGACCAGATCAAGAACTGATGGAGCCAAGCATGGAGAAAAGCGAATTTACCTCGAGCAACACTTGCAGGGTTGCTCACGCGGTTTCAGGGAACGCTGAACCAGGCATTGGAGGCACAAGCGAGAGGAATGGCTGTGCCATGTCCATCTTCCATATCCACAGGCGGCGTGCTTTGGCCTAGCTCAGCCAAGGCGCCAAAACAAGGGACAAGACTTGTGTCGATCGGGTAATGCGGCAAGCGATGCTTGGCATCGATCCTGTTTCTGGGGACGTTGGCCAAGACGACCTCATCTATGTTTCCAGGCGTAGTTTGCATGATTGCGATGCTGGGTAACAAGATGGCCCGGCTGAATGCCAGTTTGATCGTGTAGAGGATTGCCGCCAGGATGCTTGTCTTGTAATTTTGGGACAACTGGACATGATTGGAACCAGGTCACTGGCGCCTATCCGACTGCCACCCACCCACTCACACCGTCACACAAGTTCTTGTACATCCATCCTCATACAATGCACGCTCGCACTTGATGTTCCCGGTTCATTCATTTTCCCTCCTCCCCCATTCATCCATGTATCCCCCCCCTGACCACACGGACTCCCGTCGACTCGCCCAACACTTCTTCGCTCATTTATTCCACGACATCCAACTGCAATCTCGACTCGAGGCCCGCAACTACCGTCATTCTCGTCGACACGAATCCCCTCATCGTTGCGGCGACTAGCCTGGCAACGCTGCCATCGCCTCGTGCGTCCTAATACCTCACACGGCAGCTCAGGTCCGATTAAACAGTGCCGCGCATGAGCACCATCGTCTAGTACCGTGCCCTCTGAGTTCTCCCACTCTCGCTTGACTGTCACTCGCTCAGCACCCAAACCTCGTCAAAACAAACACCCTCGTTCAACGGCCACTACGTGGAATTTGGCATCGCACCATGAAGCCGTCCATCTCGCCGCGTCCTACGGGCGTTATGCTCCTGGCCGCTGCGGCCTTTGCTCAGGCACAGACATCACCTTTCTCTATTGACAGCACTGGTAAGACCACGCCCATGTCCACGCCTAGGATTGTACGACGTCAGCTCGTCAAGCCATGGCAATGCTAATGCTCGTCTTTTCAGCTGCCATCAAGCAAAGTTCTTCCACTCTTGCATGGGATATGTTGCAATACTATAAAGGCAATTTAACTGGCCAGACGCCCGGTATTTTACCTGGTCCTCCGCCCGCTGGTGACTACTACTGGTGGGAAGGTGGTGCCATGTGGGGGACATTAATCGATTATTGGTACTGGACGGGCGATTCAACTTATAATAACGAGATCATGCAGTCAATGCTGTTTCAAGTCGGCGAAAATAAGGATTACATGCCTCGAAACGTCACGGCATCCTTGGGTAACGACGACCAAGGCTTCTGGGGCATGGCCGCCATGACTGCCGCCGAAAATGGCTTCCCCGATCCTCCATCTGATAAGCCCCAGTGGCTAGAGCTTGCGCAGGCCGTCTTCAACACCCAAGCCAGTCCTGATCGCCACGACTCGACCTGCGGTGGTGGCTTGCGGTGGCAGATTCCCTTTGCCAACAACGGATATGACTACAAGAATAGCATCGCCAATGGTTGCTTCTTCAACATGGGTGCCCGTCTGGCTCGCTATACCCGCAACACAACCTACTCGGACTGGGCCGACAGGACATGGGATTGGATGTGGAATATTGGGTTCATCGACAATAAAAACTACGCCATCTACGACGGCGCCAAGGTGACTAATGGCTGCAAAGATATTAACAGGGCTGAGTTTTCTTACAATAATGCCGTGTTTGCAGAAGGTGTTGCCTTTATGTACAACTATGTGAGTAATTGCACGTGTGCGCCATGACAAGTCATCATTATTAACCTTGGGTAGACAAACGGAAACGCGACGTGGAAGGCAAGACTGGACGGACTCATCAAACACGGAATGGAGGCTTTTCTTCCCAAGGGAATCGCAGTTGAGATATCGTGCGAAAATGCAGGAACTTGCACCACGGATATGCTTACATTTAAAGGCTTCCTCCATCGTTGGTACTCGACCATTACACAACTCGCGCCCTACACTGCCGAGACAATCCGTCCAGTCTTGAAGACATCGGCCGAGGCTGCCGTCAAGCAATGCACGGGTGGGGCTCTGGGACGACAGTGCGGCTTCAAGTGGGCTAGCGGTGTCTACGACGGCAAGACTGGCGCTGGTCAGGAGATGGCAGCCCTCTCCGCTGCCATGTCCCTTCTCATTCCTCAGGCCAAGGCTCCCGTGACGGAGAAGGATGGGGGAACGTCCAAGGGCAACCCCAACGCTGGTGGTAGTGGTGATGATGCCCAGAAGAAGAGCAAGCCCATTACGACTGCCGACAAGGCCGGCGCTGGTATCCTGACCATCCTGGTGTTGGGGTCTGCGTGCGGTATCTTTGGGTGGATGAGCGTGGGTGTTTGACCGGCCAATGTCATGAAGCACCAAAAAAAGAAAAAAAGAAAAAAACCAATCTATGACATGAATCGAGCCTGGCTGTAAGCCTGGCGGTTTAATTTGAGACATGGACATGTGGTCTGGCAAGATCATTTTGCACTACTTGCTATTTTGAAGGACTTGGAAATGATGGGATGATTTTACGGCGTTGGGAGGAAGGGGGTTGGGGGTCACAGGCTAACAGCAGCAGCTACCTGTACAATCTTGATACCGTTTTCTTCTTCTTTTCTTTTGCTGGCAGCTTTGGTATCGACATCCACTGTCGGTTGACTGGGTCGAACAAGTGCCACCTCTTTTTTTGGGGGGGTTTTTTTAAGTTTGATTCACGGCCGCAAGCACGCATTCACGGCACGAGACGGCGAGCCTACGATACGGGAAAGATGTAGCGTGGAAACTTCTTATAGTAATAGAAGGTCTGGTGTGATTACAATATCTTGGGTCACTGTCTTTTGCAAGCTCTAGTTGAAGATGGCGCACCGTGTGCGTTGGTAGGCCACTTTGAGGCGCGACGTCGAACCACAAGATTTGCTGTTGGCTGACCAGTCCTCGTAACCAATCATACAGCTGCGGCGACCTGGGCATCGGGAGGCGCCGATGGTGCAAAAAACCAGCACAGCAACCAGGTCACGAGGCCAGCAAAACATCCAACAGACCGTGACCCGAACCCACCGTCGTCTGTACTAAGGGCGAGCGCTTGCCCGACGGCCAATGCTCGATTCACGTTGTCGCCCTGCTCGCATCCGGGCGACTCAGTCCCCGGCGCATCTGCATCTTCCGCCATTCCCGCCCATTTCGATGGGGTAATAGGAACTCGATTCCCCTCAATGGCACAATGAGGTGACGCCGCAAAGAGGGGCGAGCACGCACACGCACGCCCATCCACGCCCCCCCGCGTGACGAGAGCCACCTTCAAACCTGCTGCTGTCCACCACCAACGCTCCACTTTGCGGCCTTGGGTTGGAAACGTGGGGAAGCAAGCCAAGCGTTTTAGTGGTCATTTATGCAATTTTTTTTTCCCTTCCTCCCTTGTATGTTTGGTTTTTTTTTTCTTTCCTTGTGTCGGCTGACCTGGTCTGGGAGGGGCAAGCAAGTTGAGTGGGCTTTGGGGTGTGTGTCGACGCCGTTTATAAGTCGTGAGCCCTGCTCTGGACCTCACCGACAGACCATATCATTCCCTTGTTGCCATTCTAGAAAGAAAAAAAAAACCGATTGACCAGCTAGACTTGGTTCAGTGTACCTCTTTTCGCAAAGCCGTTCCTTGCCATTGACGTCGCCAGTTACACCACAGCGTGCCGCGTACGACTTGATCACCACGTGCCCCCGTCGTGTTATTTGGCATAAGCGCAAACCACCACCACCCCCAAGTACTGGATATAAACAACGTCCCGCCATGCCGTACCTCGTCACCGAGCCCGCGCCCTCTGCGGCCGCGGGGGCGCCGGCAACGTCTACCGGCGCAAGGAGAGCGATGCGTCCAGCTCGTCTTGTGCGTCGAGCGTCCGGAGCAGCGGGAGCTCCACGGCCAAGCTGTGGAGTCGTGTGAGCTCGTTGGGACGCCAGTAGGGGGTCTTGGAGTGAAATACGACTTTTCGTTTTACGAGTGGTGTTTTGGGATCAATCTGGGTTGGGGCAAAAAGTGATTTTACTTGAGACGATGGAAGTGAGCGAGTTGGCGTTTTGTGTTTTTTTAATGTTGGGGGACCTCAGAGCATACGCAGCGCGCATATTTGCATCTGGTGAACTGTTTTCATATACCCTCCCCCCCGCTACGTGCGGTGTGTAGTTACTATCCGATTAATCAAGTAATGGACAAGAAAAGATGATATATATCCGGCTTGAATCGTTCATCTCGGGTGGCCTGTTTACTTGACTACATGGGCTTTAGGCTCACAACCTTCCGCTTTCGAGTTGGACTTTTTGGTAGGCCGGCCAATCACTTTGTTCAACACCATGTTTCGCCAGCATCTCTCTGGCGTTTGGTTTGTTTCTTTCATACTCTGGCATCCATCAGGGTATCATTAAGCTGCTCTAGACGCGGCCCCAAAACAACTCCGCCCAAGTTTACCTCTCTCCCCTTTGCGCCATACCACATCATCATGTCGGCATGGGGCCTACATTCTCGGTGCGAGTGATGGCCGCCGAAATGCCCCTTGTCAAAACCATGTAATGCTCGCTCTCAAGTAAACTTGGTGTGGATAATATCCGGGTTCTCGTGCCAGTCGTCAACGCTCACCCACATCTTTGCGTGCTCGTCAGTCTCACAGTTTGCCGGCTAATGCTCAGGGAAAGAGACGGCTTACCTTGCGGAATGTGCTCAGTCCAGCGAGAATGCTTCCCCCGATCCATGTCGAGTATTTCCGCTCTGGCGGCGCAAAAATCTTTATCCTCATGTCCTTGACTGCCAGCCTCTGCAGCTCCGTTAGCAGCCGGTCGCCGAAACCCTTGGTCAATGTGCTTCCGCCCGACAGCACAATGTTGCCGTACAGCGACTTGCGCAGGTCGAGGTCTGTCCTGTTGATGGCGTCCACCACAATCTGGTGGACGCCAGGGTACTCGAGGCCGATGAGTTCCGGGTCAAACAGGATTTCCGGCGCTCTGAATCGTTCTTGACCAATCTGTCCCCCGGTTAGCTGACTCAAGTCCCCAAGGAGAGGGGATATATCGTGGCATGCGGAATTACCTTGAGCTTGTGCCCATCGGGCAAGACATACTCGGCAAACTTGCTCTCGTTCGGCTTCACCCCAATCCAATCCCTCTCCTCTTTCCTCGGGTCGTGCGCCACATATGACACGCTCTCCTTAATCAGCCTCACCACCTCCTTCTCGGCACTCGTATGGAAGACATAGCCGCTCTTCCGTAACAGTGTTTGCAGGTGCTCTGTGACATCGCGTCCTGCCACGTCAATTCGTCGGATGCTGCTGGGCATGGCAAACCCCTCGTACACGGGCACCGCGTGCGATACACCGTCGCCAGAATCCAGCACAATACCAGTCGTTCGACCGCTGGCATATAATGACAAAACAGCCTGGATGGATGTGTGCAGTGCGGGGACGTTGAATGTTTCGAACAGAATCTGTGCGGCGGTATCACGGTTGCTTCGGGGGTTTAGAGGAGGTTCCGTCAACAGGACGGGATGCTGGATTTTGTTGTTAGCAAATATCCTAGGTTTGATCCAGCTCGCGGCCCGCTCGGTCGGTGGCATACCTCTTCACTCAACGTCTTCAGTCCCTCGCCATACACGTACTCCCATATCCGCTCCATATCATCCCAGTCTGTGACAATGCCGTGTTCCAGAGGATAGTGGATCTTGAGCAGGCCTCTCAGCTCACTGGCGGCCTTTTGGCCGATAAAAACATCGCCTTCCAGAGCGCCAGCAAGAACCCTGAGGTGCTTTGGCCTGCCCACCCACGACGGGAAGAAGCATTTGGGCAAATCGTCGCCGGCGAAACCCGCGCGGATGGTTCCCGAACCATTGTCCAAGACAATGGGGGCATTGTGTAGTATCTCCGTCATGTTTTGGTGTTTGGTTGAATTTGAGAACCCGCCTGATGTTGATTGACTTGCTGCCTTTGTCTCGAGGCGCTTTGCTCTCTCCAATGTTGCCTTGACGTCCTCGCGGCCCCCTGACCGAATGTCGTCGCGCGCAGTCTGGGCGTCGAAGCTTACTGCATGGACAAGACTAGATAAAAATCAAGATGCGGAACAAAAAAGAGTTGCCGAATTCGTACTTCGTCAAACCAAACGATATGCCAGTCCGTGTCGTGTTTTGGCCGGTCGTGTTCTGTTAATCGCCGACGACGACACATGGAGCTTTGCTATGAAGTTCACACGACGACACGCGCTGGCTTGTACCCAGGTATGTACAAGCTAACCAACCCGCTTGGAGCACCGGGCTCCTCAGCACAACCAGACCTTGTCTCAGTGCCCGTTGTGCTTCAGGAGAACGCCACTCTGTGGCTCAATGGCCGTCAAGCCATATCACGTGCTCTGGCGGAAGGGAGACGACGACTGGTCGGGAAGCAGCGGCGCCTGAGGCAGGAACCACTTAAAGTGCAGCGCGTGGGTTCGCGTCTCTCCACGTGGACCGCGTCGTCGACGTGCCAACAATTTCAAGGTACACCTTGCAACCCTTGCAACGAACCCATTGATGCCCATGAGAACAAACTTGTACACTTGCTGGCTGCAGCGACCATCCCTCTTCCCGGCTGCGTCTTTCTGAGCAGTGGACATACCTTCTTGTTCATTTTCCATTCGATATTCGCTCCGAATTCCCGAGTTCTAGCCTCAGCATCTCCAATTGCATGGCGGTATAAAATCGCAATCTCTTCCCCATCCACAACCAAAATGGTCAAAGCCGGCGTTGCTGCGGTCAGTGCCGGTCCGGGCATCTACAGTGCTACCTACAGTGGTGTAAGAATCCCCAATCCTTCCATAGATTGATGGTCTTTGTTCAAGTATCGACACGCCGCCGGCCGTTTACGGCTTTGGCCTTGTTGAGCAATTTGTTGAAACCAACCATGCCACCACGGCTCCTCAAAGACTAGGCCATCCAACTTTCGAATTTTCTCTATCTGTGCTTTGAATGCGTCTCGGTTTTCTCGCTCACAATTTTCTCAGATTCCCGTCTATGAATTCCAATTCGGAGCCGACTTGAAGGAACATGTGATGCGACGAAGACATGATGACTGGATCAATGCGACACACATCCTAAAGGCTGCCGGCTTCGATAAACCAGCACGAACCAGAATCTTGGAACGAGACGTACAAAAGGACGTCCATGAAAAGATTCAAGGTGGATACGGCAAATATCAAGGTTGGTTATACAAAATTGGCGAGTCGTCCTTTGTGCATGCTTCCCTCTTTGCTGATTGAATAAATCAGGGACCTGGATCCCCCTCGATTCTGGCGAGGCCCTCGCCCAACGTCACAGCATTTACGACCGACTACGACTCATCTTTGAATTTGTCCCTGGAAACGAGAGTCCCCCGCCAGCACCCAGACATGCAACCAAACCGAAGGCATCCAAAGCCAAGCCGGCGCAGCCTCCACCGCCTCCGAAATGGGGTGCGGGTAAGTTATACAGCTTCGATATAACGCAACATTCCTTATCTCACACGAGCGCAGGCGCTGTCATGGCACGTCATGAAGAGTTTGACAATGGAGACACTCTGATGGGGGAGGACGATACACCAGACAACTTGACTGTAGCATCAGCATCCTACATGGCAGACGACGATCATTTCGACATGTCCCACATGCCAACGAGTCACAGAAAACGAAAGAGGGAAGAGCACATGCAAGACCTCACGGAACAGCAACATGCGGTGTACGGGGACGAGCTCCTGGACTATTTTTTGCTCTCTAGGAACGAGCAGCCTGCTGTCAAACCAGACCCGCCGCCGAACTTCCAACCAGACTGGCTCATCGACGCTGAAAACCACACTGCTCTGCACTGGGCATCTGCCATGGGTGATGTCGACGTCATCAAGCAGCTGAAGCGTTTCAATTCAAATATCGCAGTAAAGAACATACGCGGGGAAACTCCATTTATGCGGTCTGTCAACTTTACAAACTGTTACGAAAAACAATCATTTCCTGCGGTGCTAAAGGAGCTATTCGAAACGGTAGACTCCAGAGACAACTCCGGCTGCACAGTGATTCATCACGCTGCCGTGATGAAGAATGGCAGAGTCTTTAGCCCGTCTTGTTCACGGTACTACTTGGATCTCATTCTGAACCGGCTGCAGGAAAACGTGGATCCCTCCACCTTCCAACAAATGCTGGACGTACAGGACAATGAAGGCAACACGGCACTGCATCTCGCTGCCCAGAGAAACGCTCGCAAATGTATCCGCGCACTCCTCGGCCGCAATGCATCGACAGATATTGCCAACAACGAGGGAATCCGAGCAGAAGACTTGATTATGGAGCTCAATGCTGCCAAGAAGGAGCGTGGGCCGCAAAGGTCGTCCTCGCCATTTGCACCCGACTCGCAGAGGCACGCCTCATTCCGAGACGCCTTTGCCGACAACAAGAAGAAGCCACCGACATCTTTCCAGTCGGCAGCCGCAACAACAGTGCAGTCACGGATTGCGCCGCTGCTCATGGAAAAGTTTCAAGACCTGGCCAAGAGCTATGATGACGAATGGCACGAGAAGGACGTGGCGGAAGCCGAGGCGCGGCGCATTCTGGCAAACACGCAGGCGGACCTGCACGCGACGCACCAGCAAATTGCCGAGCTGGAGGCGCAACTCGAGACGGATGATGAGGCTACCAAGATTATGGGCGAGGCAAACAGATGCAAACATCAAGTATTATCTCTGATTACGCACCAGAGCAGACTCCATATACATCAAGCGGTGGAAAGCGACATGAACAGAGTCAATGGCGATAACGGCGAAAACGACTCGTACGACGAGAGGCTGGCTCTCGCTCGTCAACTCAATTCACTAATCGGCGAGCTACGACAGGCAGAAAACGACTATGTGGACGCTCTGAGCATGGTGGGGACGGGGGACAAGATTGAAAAGTATAGAAAGCTGCTCAAGAGATGCCTGGATCAGAAGGACGGCGAGATGCTAGATTCAAACCTCGACAATCTCATCGAAATGATGGAGGAAGAAAGAGACGTGAATGACGTGGATGGCGCGATGGTATCGGCAGGCGACCCCATGGACTTTGGTGTCAGCGGCGTATAGTGTACAAGAACACCGGGGCAGCTTGAGGATGTATTTTCTGTCGGAGGCATGTCTCTTTGATATCCCCGGAAGACTTGGATTTGGGAGGGGTGTGCGCGGCCCTTGTCGAGACATGTGCGCAAAGTGACGAAGTGATGATGTGGCGAAGCTTGTTTGTCCATGGCAGCGGCGTGTTGGCGGTGTTTTTGGTCTGGCGGCGTCGTGGAGTGGATTGATTTTTTTTTAACGAGGATTATTATATTGCATGTTAGTCAGTGATGGCGATACACACATTTTTGACAATTCCTGTTTCCTTTTGCGGAGTAGGCATAGCATGGTTCCACCGAGCATGCAGAGCAACGGCTGGCTTGATTGCAGGTGCAGCTTACGTGCATGTGGCGCTGCAGTGATGTTCTCTCCCGGCTGGGTGACACTCCATGTCGCCATGATATGTACGGAGTAGATGTATTTGTTGAAGCTGTCGACGAGGAAACAAGGCTGAGCCGGTCTCCAGTCGACGCTAAGCAGTAAATTCGCAAGCCTAGTCGTCACCAGATCTAAAGAAAGCATCAGACCCCGTCGTTTCATTTTGCGCCCCGGGGCATAAATTCCCTGAGTGGTTGGTTGGTTATTTATTTTTGGTTTTCTTCAGCGGAGTCGGAGGGATTCCCAGATCGGCCCGGAGTACGGAGTACGTGTTGCAGTTGCACAAGTTGACAGGGCGTTATTTATGGACCCGCGCCGGGTCACTGACGAGGCTGAAACTGGGGCACTCTCGACACTCCACATTTCTTAGCCATTAATAGGGCGACGTTGCCCCCACGTCAGCTTGGGTTGGTCCGCCAAAATTGCCATTTTTAACCAGTTGAGCTTCGTCCCGACCTGCATGGTCTTGTCGTCAGGTGAGAGCGCGCGGCCTGGGCGCTCACTCTAGTATTTAGCATTGCTGGATAATAAATAAAGGGAGGGAAAACAATGCGCAAGAATACGGACAGATGATGCTAGTCTTGCACCTCGGGGAGAGGGAGGGTGAGTTCAGGTAGGACTTGTATATACGGAGTACATATGTACTGTACATACTCCGTATGGGACTTGTCTGCGCGCTGGGGCTGGCTGAGTGAGAGACATTGACGGCAGGGCGGGGGGTGGGGGTGTGTGTGATCTGCTGTGCTGCAGCGGGATCGCAGTGTTGAGGCTCTTGATGCGAGATGGGCGAGCTGGGGTTTCGGGGGCACGGTTTGACGACGGAGCAGCTGAGCAGTGAGAAAAATGGCTTCACGTACTTGCACAAAACACGGAGTACTTTGTACGGAGTAGATGGCCTTGAATCAGCGAGGCGCGCGTCGTATCATGTAATGAGAGGTTTGGTCATTGATCGGTAGCGGCTTGGAGAGGGTGCTGCGGCGGGTAAATATTAGTATTACATATAGCATTTGAAGCAAAAGAGGACCTGCCCGCTTGCTCTAGTTTCCGAGGCTCTTGGCGACGTCGGAAGTGGACAAAGGACCGTTGACATCTGGAGGCTGAGTCAGTCTGCCAGATTGGCTACAAAGGCTCGCGCCGGCCCCATCGCCACGGGTGTTTCTTACGCTTCCCTTTTGTTCGCAGCTTAGTCGTGTCGTGGGATTGACATGGTGCCATATGTATTACATGCGTGCGTATTGCTGGGATGCATGCCGCTGACCTATGTGCATCGTCGACTGGAGGCCAGGGCGGAGCCGAGAGTCACGAGATTATACAAAGATAAGAACTTGGTACAATCCATACAAGCTGAGACTTGAATACATACATTGCATACATGCATTGCCCGCGCCCGGGTGGTACCAAGTGGCATATGGATTGTGTCGTGTCGATTTTGTCATGACTGCTGGTGCCCAACGTTGCGTCTGCCTGCAAGCCAGTTTTCTACGAATAGAGCCAACTACCTAGGTAGGCAGGTATAATTGCAAGAACTGGTTCAAGCGGCGTAATTTCAAGACGGCTTCGCCATTGGTCCGCCCGTCTCAAAGAGGTTGAGGTGGCATGGCGTGAGGATGTCATTCTGTTGTACGGAGTATGTAGGGAGAAACTTTGATGTCCTTCCCATCGTCACCTACGGGGAAAAGAGCAACGACATGTGCCAGTTTCGCCATATGCCAAAGTCTTTTGCCGTTGAGCTTTGATCCGCAGAATCCTGAGACGGCTATCCCTGCGAGTCTGCAAGCTCAAGTCGCTTGACTCGAACCACACATTGCAGCACAGGTGCAAATAGCAAATGCAGCAGCTGACCATGATTCCTCTCGGCTTCACCTGATTCATTATTTCTAGTCGTCATAGCCAGAGCCCAATTGGCGAGCCGGAATGCTGGCATATCTCGTCCACGCAGCGGCTGACGCTACCCAAACTTTAATGTTAGTCCATGTCAGGTCAGTGCATGCTTGAAATCCCTGAAGTCCAGCCACGTCTCTGGATTATCCGGAAGCACCGTGATAACAGAACTTTGTAAGGTGTTTGAAGGGTTGGTGCGGTCGGTCGACACAGTGGACCAGACATCAATAATGTCTGCTTCGGACGACGTTCCCGGTCAAGATGCACAACAATGGGTCTCTTGATGGCAAATTGTCGCCAACCCGCCTGTTGGCTCTGGGGCCGTGGTGGGCTGTTATTGATGTCTGGTTGTACTCCGTACATACGGGCAGTTTGTTGCGACTCAGCTATCATGGACAAGATTGCTGCCCAAAGAAAGCCCAAACCAGTTAAATCGGTGGGGACAGATAATCAAGAAAATCGGGGCGTGGCGAGAGGTTCTAGAAGATGGAGAGGGCGGCAAAGGATCAATCGATTGAGGTCTGGGGCAGGCAACTCTGGTGCTTCAGCTGGTCAGGGTTGGTGGCTGATCGGCTCTCCGGGTCGGTGCTCCAGCTATCGAGCAATGCTGCCTTCGAGGCCGTCGTCATAGCCGACTCGGTGCTCTGCGCTTGATTCGCTACCGGCGTCAGGGACTGCGGCATCCCCACCGGCACATGCAGCTGCATGCAGCTTGAAGAACGACGTCTTGCCGTCAAAGTTTATATGCTGTGTGTGTGCGTGTGTGTGTACAGTCAATATGCTTTGCTCGACAAGGGGCCGCCATTGTTGCGGCGTGGCAGGCTGAGAGATTGAGATTTAGTCATGACAGCTTGACTGCCGTACAATGACCGAGTCAGGAGCTCGAGTGGTAGAAACAAAAGCAACAGTAGACAATATCGAGAGGAAGACCAGTTGACAGAGGAAAGTTGACCGTTATAGCTCATACGAACCCGGACATGTCCGTGGGCACACGATCCTGGCATATCCACGGCAGGCACGAACTGCAGCATTCAATGTTGGGTAGGCGGGCTTGTCGTCCAAGTTGTACTAGACTATTGCTCCTTCCCAACAACAGCCAACCATTGCTGCCGACTCACGTCACGGACTCACATCATTTGATGGGAAGATGCAATGCAGTCTTGCCTCGGCCTCCTGGAACATGAACATTGAACTGAATCCAATGTTGCACGCAACTTTGTGCACTTGCATACAGAGCGACTCTGCATTGATGACCCAAGCCCGTAGAGTCGTTGGAGCCGACACAGTTGAGAAAACTTCGGCATGCCCACATCATGCACCGCGAATTGCCAGGTTTCACGTCCGACAGAGTGGCTGCCGGTCGCCGTCTTGTGTCGTCCTCCATCTTTACTTTCCATTGTCCAGGTGCGAGGAGGCTACTGTTTCATCCGGCTAAACGATGTCCAACTACTAACTAGGGATGACGGGCCTGGCTCAGCCCAAGCCCTCCATCACCCTTCCCACCGGGGCTCGACACAATATCGGCAGATGCTCTTGCGTTTCACCACATACCCGTCGCATGCCATCAACTCAAAACAAAATAAGAGGGGGAAAAAGATACTCGACCGGGTGCCTTCCGCAGGGCACCTTTTAATTTTATACATTCATACAATAGGCAGCCGACTGGTGCATGTGCTCTTGTTGGGCCCCACATTCGACATGTGGCCTCGACAAAACCACCACACGAGGCGGCTTGGCTTGGTCCAACCCAGCTGAAAGCACGACAATGTCTGCGCCAGACGTGTGAAGGCTGGTGCGGACAATGTGAGCGACGTTCCGGACCACTCTCTGCTTCACGACTGCACCGCTGCATCAGCTCGCCGACACTGCCATGTGCCGTCTGCGGACCACAATCTCTGCCGACCGCCGCTTTGTGTTGTTTTGCCCAACGATGGCCCACGAGACAAGGGAGGGGGCACAGTGCTTCCCAGCCCTTGAATTGACCCATTTCAGCTGGGGACATCTGGAGTTTGCAGCAAACGCCTGACACGCCGGATGTGGCTCGGGCGCAGAAAAAGACTTCCAACTCAGACTCCGGGCTGAGAGTCTCGTCATGATTCCCCGCGACCGCCGTGGCTCCCCGAATGCCTTTGGGCAGCCGCCAGCACAAGATGGAACCAGTTCCAGCCGGATCAGCAAGCCATTCGAATAGCCTTTTGGTGCAACCATGGATGAAAGCCAGGGTACCTAGGTATGTATGTACTAGTATAACCCGATGGCCATCGGCTTGGCCTTCTCTCCACGCAGACGGGTGGCGGATCTGGAACGTGTTTGCAGATTTCATGTCGCGCGTTTTCGCCGTTGCCAGGATGGCCATTTTCCATGGCGAGCTGACTGCTCCGTTCTTGGGGCACCTTGGGGCAAGCCCATGCTTCAATGTTCCATCCTGTCGCTGCAGCCTTCAATCTTGACCCACAAACCACCTGGCCATTATTTCCTGGCTTGTACATACATGCGACAATACGGAGCACTTGTCTGCGAAAACATGCATGCCGCCATCTCGCAGATTGCATTTGCTGTCAAGTGGACTTTTGCGACAATCAAACACAGCGGCCCGGCCGGCGCCCCAGATGTACCTGACGTAATTACCAGGAATAGACGCCTGGGCATGATGCCAGAAGGAATCAAACATGGTCAAGTGCCTGGGCGTGCGCCCATCACGCTTCTGCCGTCAC